TCTTAAAAAAAAGAAAGAAAGAAAGAAAGAAAGAAAGAAAGAAAGAAAGAAAGAAAGAAAGAAAGAAAAAAGAAAAAATTTAGTGGGGAAACAGGACAATGACTGGTCATCAGTGCTGACTGGTTCAGAGAGGTTAGAGAGGAGGACAGCCAAGGTCACTGGTAAGACTTCAGCAAGAACGGCTTCAGGAAAATGACAAGGTGAAAGCTAAATTGCAATGGATCAAGGGATAATGGTGGGAAGAGCAAGTATAATGTCTAGCAGGAAAAAGAAACGACAGCATTTGAAGGGAAAAGAAAGTAAAGGGAACATTTCAGTCTTAAAGAAATTTCCACGGTTAAGAGGGTTAAGTGCCACGGGCACCATATTTGGCCTCTGCAGACCGTGAAGGTGATATCTGGTCTGGCTATTTATTTATTTATTTATGATTTTTAATCTCTTTTATTTTGAAAATTTTGTCTGGGTAAAACAAAAGAGGAAAATAAGCTTTATAATGTATATTCAAACTTGTACATCCGTTCCCTAGTCTGGCTCTTTAAATTTTATCTCAGTTTTTAAGGTTAGCAGGTGACAGGCACAGATTTTAATAAAGGCCCTTCTACTAGTTCCTTATACTTTTATTTTCTTAGATACTTTTTAACCCAACATGTATTCTCCAAGTCAGGATACAATGATACATTTTGTCCCTTTGTCCCTCAAAATGCTTTGCTATGTAAGATGAAACGTGGGAGAATTTTTTAAAGTCACAAAGCAAAAGGCAAAGTTGTATTTCAGTTAACTGGATTTTAGTAACTGATTGCATCCTAGAGTATTTTGGAAGTGCCTGTCTGTTGGTTGCTTGTGTCCTCTCGGATTGCAGACTGTCAGCACTCCCTCATCAGAAGGTCTTGCCTGGGCTCCTTGTCTATCCCCGTGCTCCTCCTCCACACCTCCTCTTTGTTCATTTTCCCCCAGATGCTTATTTTAGGAAGGGGCCTATGTTGTAGGTATCTTCAGTCGTGTCCTCTGGTTATAAAATGAGCATAACTAAAATGTCCCAAGTGCTTAGTAGGTGCCAGGGACCCTTCTCAGGGTGCTCTCAGGCTGTGTCCTATAATCCTCACAGTGCATTTTACAGATAAGGAAACTGAAGCAGGGAGAGGTTAGGGGACTTACCTGAGGTCACACAGTTCATAACGGAGTCAACGTTAGGACTAAGGAAGTCTTGTCCAAAGTCCACAGCCCTAACCAATCACTGCACTGCCTCTTACCAGATGCTCTAAGTCTCCCGAGATCTGCCTTCCTTCTATTCACAAACGACTTGAGGTTACTGACCTCATTCAGTAATATGCACTGTGAGATCGTGGCCAAGCACGCTGTGCTTGGGGCCGGGGATCCGGAGCTAAGGATGCAGACCCTGGAGCATACCATCTGGCTGGGGAGGCAAACAAGGAGTGTGGGGGTGAGGCCTGCACACCCTCACGCCCTTGCTGGGCGGGGATGGCGTGAGGGCGCTGACGTTCCTCAATACCAGGCGAAGGATGCAGGTCAGCCTGCCAGCCTCTGAATACCAGCTCCGTGTTCCCTGGGTGGGAGACTGGGCAAGTGTTGCAGCTCTTTCTGGGCTGTAAATAAAATACAGTAATGATTGCACAGCGCTGCTCCCCGAAATCTGCCCTTAGCTTTCTTCCTCCATCATTTATACCTGGCTTCCACAATGAACTCCACGCCCATTAACGTTCATACCTCTCTTTCTCCTGAGTCCTCACTGCCCTCCTGGTTGCCCATGCCCACCGGATGCCCCTGCTTCCAACTCCTAACTTCATAAATCTAAAACTCACTGGCTCAGGACACCTGGGTGGCTCAGTCGCTTAAGCGGCCAACCCTTTGGTTTTAGCTCAGGACACGGATCTCAGGGTTTTGAGATCAAGCCCTGCATCAGGCTCTGCACTGGGCATGAGGCCTGTTGGAGATTCCCTCTCTCCATCTCCCTCTGCCCCTTCTCTGCTCTCTCTCTAAAATATATGTATATGCAAACTCACTGGCTCTCTCACAACCCTTGGCCTTGAGTGGTGCTGCCCACTTCTGCCCCTGGCAGCAGCGCTCTTCCAGAAGTCTGGGTGAAGCTCCTTTTTTTTTTTTTAATTATTTATTTATTTATGATAGTCACACAGTGAGAGAGAGAGAGGCAGAGACACAGGCAGAGGGAGAAGCAGGTTCCATGCACCGGGAGCCCGACGTGGGATTCGATCCCGGGTCTCCAGGACCGTGCCCTGGGCCAAAGGCAAGCGCCAAACCGCTGCACCACCCAGGGATCCCTGAAGCTCCTTTTGATTCCACCTCCTCTCTTGCCCCACCATCTCATCAGTCTGTTTCCCAGTCTTTGAATTTCTCCCTCCTTTGTATTTTTACTGCCATGACTAGTTTCTACTTCCTTAAGTATCCTAACCCTGCCTGTTCTGCCCTCCATGCTCCCTATGCAATTGCCATTGGCTTCTCCACTCCATCCCTACCATTGGCTTCTCCACTCCATTCTTCACCTCTCTCCTACATGCATTTCACGCCTGTCAGAGTTCAGCTGCTCCCTGCTCTCGCACAAACTGCTCCTCCATCTGGAACACTCTCCATTTCTCAATGTCCCAGCACCGCCTGGCCTTGAATGCACACATGTACTGTCCTCTACAAAGTTTTCTCTCCTTTGATTGGAAATCATCTCTTTCCGACATGAACTTACAGAACACTCTTCGGAGCAACTCCTACCTTGTCTGTTTAGTTACCCATCTTCTCTCTTCCACTACATGGCAAAGTCTTCGGCTATAGAATCCAGGTGTGATTCATTCTTAGGTGTCCCACTGTCTCTACACAGAGTGCTCAAAAATATAACAAAGTGAATAAGAAAACGAATGGAAGACCTGAAAGACATAAGATCGGAAAGATGGAAGAACAGAAACGGCAACCACACACCACAGCAGACATCTCTCCATCACAGGGATTTCAAGGAGGAAAAATAACTGACTACAGTCACAGCATGACAGTTAAAGGATTTTCCAGGAAGCCAGTTATGTGAAAGGAACAAAATAATACCACCTTAACGTTCATATCCACACATTGCAGAAAGGTACTATTAATGCAGATTAGCAGATTTTTAAATAATATAGGCTTTATTCCCCCAAGAATTATTTACTGTTAATGGGGTGCCCACCTGGCTCAGTTGGTAGAGCATGCAACTCTTGATCATGACTTCAAGTCCGGAAGTTAAAAAAAAAAAAAAACAAACTTATTTTTTAAAATAAGCTCCATACCAACGTTGGGTATGGAGGATACTTAAAAAATATATATTATTATTAATGAAACAGGAAAAGAGCAAGGGGGTGAAGATATGTCAATGAAGAGTTAAGAAAAGAGATTCTCTTATAAATCCTATTTTTTGCTTTTACTTGGTCAAGACCACAGGCTCTCAATACCACGCTTTTAAACATGTAGCTCCAACCCAAACATTTCCCTCCAAAGCTTGTCTCCTTAAGGCTGGTATTAAAAAAAAAAAAATTAATCAAGTGGAGAGCCTGGGGGGTCTCAGTTGTTAAGCAATTGACTCGATTTCGGCTCAGGTTATGTTCTCAGGGTAGGGAGATGGAGCCCTGTGTGGGGCTCCGTGCTGGGAGTGGAACCTGCTTGAGATTCTCGCTCTCTCCCTCACTAAATAAATAAATAAACAAATAAATAAATAATCGATCCAGAACCTGCTTGAGATTTTCGCTCTCTCCCTCACTAAATAAATAAATAATCGATCCAGAACTGAGCCAGCACAATCTCAAAAGTTTGTCATTTGTGCAGATATTTAGAAAAGGAGCATCCTTAATAGAAGTAAACAAGAGTTTAAAATCAACTATCATATAGCCAAAGAAATGGACAGATCAATTTCGAGCATTATTCTTCATATATTGTCAATTTCAGAAGTGGAGCTGGGGACGCCAGCCATTTTACCAGTATTATGGGCATTTGCTGCTAGTCTCAAAATGTTAATTTTTTTTGGAGAAGCAAAACCAGCCTAAATGCCCCACAAGAACGAAGAATAGTAAATCTCTAGTAAAAGCAATGTGTAATTAGATTACTAATATTTCTTTATGAATTTTATCCTAGCCTCTATGTGTACCACAAAATCCTTTGGCAACAAGACAGCAGAGGAAATGTTCCAGTCTACATATTAAAAAATAAAGTAAAAGGACAGCCCCGGTGGCTCAGCGGTTTGGCGCTGCCTTCAGTCCAGGGCGTGATCCTGGACACCCGGGATCGAGTCCCGCGTCGGGCTCCCTGCATGGAGCCTGCTTCTCCCTCTGCCTGTCTCTGACTCTCTCTCTGTCTCTCATGAATAAATAAAATCTTAAAAAAAAAAAAAGTAACAATTAAGTTCCAAGGAGATACAAGGAAGACACTTGGCAATGCTTGAAAGGAAAAGAATGTTTGAGGTTTTTTTTTTTTTTACTTTTGGTTATATAGCATAAAGTTCTTATACTTCTAAAGCTATAAAAAGAAAGGTCTTCTGATTAAATGACATAGAAATTGGCTTGGAAGACCTCCATCATGACATATAACAATTTCTTTTTTTTTTTTTTAAGATTTTATTTATTTATTCATGAGAGATAAAGGCAGAGACACAGGCAGAGGGAGCAGGCTCCATGCAGGGAGCCCGACGTGGAACTCGATCCCGGGACTCCAGGACTCAACCACTGAGCCACCCAGGCGTCCCAACATGTAACAATTTCAAATGCAACTTCTGGTTGGATTTCAAGGTTCTAGATAACCACATAAAGCTCACCTAGCATTTACTTGGTCCATAGCTATTGCAAATATTAATCGTTGTTGATCTAACCATAAAGAGCCATGAATTTATATCCCCAGAATTCTTGATAAAATAGATCTTGAAAAATCACTCTACTTAAATAACAAAAGGGGGAAAATGCCTACCCTGGATTTGCAGCTTCGATCTATATCCAGGCAAAGGAAATTATACCCGAAACAAAGCTACTTCACAGCAAGATTTATTAATACATCCAAAAGAAAGAAAGAAAAATCATTTTGTCACACTATATACAGATAATACATACAGTGTTTTATACACATATTACATCAGTTTTTACACAAGAAAAATATACATAAAAATGTAAACTTTTGTATACAAAAACCCTTAAACAAATTAAACAAGGACCAGATAACAAAAGGAGACCAATCCATTATTATTTCATCAAATTTTTAAAACAGTAATACAGTACATTCATTGAGATATATATGGAAAATGTGAGCCATCTCTTCATGTTTAAAGGGAAATTACAAACCAAAAGCCCATCACCTCCCAAAATGTGGTTCCCCGCCCCCACCCAGCAACACCACTCAAAATCAGACACGCCTTTCCGCCACAACAGTGGGGGTGGGGGGCTCTTACTAAACCTGCCAACCTCCTCAACTTGCTGCTACAGTCTGTGCAGAAACGAGTGGCCCCTTGGCTTTTGTGCATATAACTAAGCTTCTAGCCACTATTCACGCAAATCCAGACAAGATCCTCAGTTTGTAAGTTCCCTTTAAGCAGCTTTTTTTTTTTTTTTGTAAATATTTTTAATGTATGGCCTGTTAAACATACTTGTGTGCCAAGGTGAATGAGAACACTGAAAAAGAAGGGCTTTGAGAACTGCTAGTCCTTGCTACCGTGCAGTTACTTTGTAAGAAGAGATTTTAAAACTGTGCAACCTGTCTGTCACTTAACAGGATCCAAAGAAGAGACCACCTCACCTGTGATTTCCCACTGCAACTTGGTTTCAATTTATACCTCAGTTCTCCAGTTAGTACCTACCCTATGATTGCCAAGAGGCTTTTTGTTAAAGGCTGCTTCTGATATCAAGTTCCAGCTAAACTACTCTGTAAAATCACTCAAACCCCAACCTCTCGGTTCTGGTCTTCAGGGGGGACTCTTACTCCACTGTTGGTTCTTGGTTCTCTTTTGCTTTTTGTTAACATCTTACAATTTAGGATTGTCCATCTATGCTCCTCTCTCTGGAAGGTCTTGAAATGTAATCTGTTGCCAACTCACCGCAAAATTAAAGATTTAATGTTTTTTTTTTTTCTTCCTAGTCTGTCGTTCAGTGCAAACTGATATATTAATGAAAACACCTGAAGTGGCGGGGAATAGGGATTGAATCTACGGCAGGTGCATGCAGACTCCGAGCTCTTTAACAAGAAAAAAGCGTCTGGGAAGACCTTTAACTAAATATATGCAAAACATGCTTAAGACAGCTTCATGAGAGCTGCCTCCCCTCAAAGTTGAATTTTGAACAAGGCAGCATAACAGTTAGGTGATAGATTTCCCTGCAGCTAGAGTAGTTAACTTCCCCCAGGCAAAATGATCTCAATGATCATTATTTATTAATGAAAGGAAGAGGCAGATTGGTGAATTAAGTTGATCTGGAAGATGGTGGAGGACGTAAGCTAATGGAAATGTTAGGATTGCTTTATAACTGAAACAAACAGGCTGGTTTGTGGTACATCTCCATTTCAGAGAGAGGGAAAATGCAGGAGGTTCTCAAGTGAATCCCCGGCTCTCTCTTTCTCCCATAGGACAGGTGGCATTTTAAAAAATGACAGTCTCCCTTTCAGTTAAAAAAAAAAAAGTAACAATAAAAAGGAAAAGATAAATAAATAATGTGTGGATGTCTTTAGATGAGACTTTTAAATGTTCTTTAAATAATTTTCGATAATGTATTTTAAATCATTACATACAACTGCCACTGCAGTGACAATATTCCAGTAGGGGCAGCATTTTGCTAAATGTAAAAGATTGCCATTTAAAACTCATACATATACATGTGTATATACAGTATATCAACACTATTTATATACATATATATCTAGAAAGCAACATTTCATTGCCTTTGAATATCTATATATTCACTCCCACAATATATGAGACATACTGTGTGAGTATATACGAAAGTATATGTACACATGCTCTGACATGTATATATACACTTTTGTCTGTGTGTGCATAAGAGCTTTAAAGGCACAATATATAGGGATGCAAGTTTTCTAGAGAGCTGCAGCAAAGTTAAAACAGAATGTCACAAATGTGGAAAAAGTCAAAAGGAAATACAGCAAAATTCATTACTTAAGAATTTGTTAAAGCAGTTTTATGAGCAAAATTAGTTGTAGAATTCAAGAGGTTTATGTGACTTTGTATGCTTTCCATTAAAATGAAAATTGTAAGTTTATGATTAAGACACAAAGAAAACCACATTTTTAAATGACAAATTGAAGACAGTAAATGGGGAAATAAACCTAACGCTGTTACCAATAAGATTATAATTATGCTCTTTTCCAACGTGAGTAAAATGTCTCCAAATGATCTAGGTAACTTTCAGATTAGCCTTGTTTGAATGTTGGTTTTCTGTTTATTTTTGAGATGAAGATGAATACCAATCCTCAAAATTACTAGACAAACTATTACCAAAATCTACATCTTCAGGAAAATTTCAGAGATAAAGATCTTTAAAAGAAATGACTGAGAAGTTAATGAATTATGCTTAAGCCAAATGCTTTCGGCTAGGAAGGACATAATAAAGGGGGGAAAATACAATGAAGTGTGATGAGATTGATTTAGAAGGCAGCAAAGATGAAGAACAATGGAACTGGTAAGAGTTCTAGCAGGAATTCAATTATAATAACCATAAACAAGACTATAATCCAAAGGACTCCCATCTTCGTATGCACCGATGGTGTGCTCTAGGCTGTCACCTCCTCTTGCTTACAGAATCATCGAGTTTTCCATCGACGTATAATCTTGCTTTAACAAAGGCTGTTTATCTATTACACACACACATTTTTTAGGGAAATATATGTATATAGCTTTATCTATACACACACATATACATACGTGTATATATAGATTTATACAAATGTATAAATAAACATAATACTTTTCAATCTTTCCATTGACAAGGCAAGTTCACATTCAGCAAAGTGCCACCACATCCCATATACACATCTCTGTACAGATATACACAAAAGGGTCTATTTTCACCCTTCAATCAGGGGGAGTTTATTCTAGCAAATCCCATTAACCAGAGTAACTGAAGGGAGAAATGGCACCAATACAAACTCCCTTCTTTCATTTGCATGCATATGTACAAGAAATATGCAGATTTTTAAAAAATCCATAAAGCAAGAGTGAATGAAACTGGGAGATGCAGAAATACAACTATAAAAGGAACGACATGTAAAGCTTTCCTAGGTCTTGACCATACCTAAGATGAATGAGGCTTCAAAGAGAACTACAAATTCTGGTGTGTTATCAGAAGTTGTTTTGACATATATCAAAGTACATGATTTTTTTAATAGTAAAAATAAATGTGATTGGAGCATTTAATAAAAACTCTAGTTTTGGCTATGTTAGACCACCAGATACTCCAGTACTGAATGTGTAGTATAGCAAAATGACAAAACTCAAAATATAGGAATGTATCTTTTTTTAATTCCATATGAATCAGGTAAAAGTCAAGGGTAGCATAATTTTTCTTATAACCAAAATACGGGGGTCGAGGGCACGCTAACTTCATAAATAGCACAACGGAGTAATTTTTTTTTTAATTTTTGGGAATAACTGAAATCATCCCAGCTTTGAAGTATACATGGTGAAATGATCCCACCAACTCTTTCAACAAAGCAGTCCCTTCAAAAAATGGCATTCTTTATTAAAAGCCTATAATTTTCTTAACTTCACCAAGAAAAGATGATCAATAAGATTTTCTAACTCAGAATACAAAGAAATCTATTATTAACATAAAAAAAGTTGTTTCAACTGATCTGGTCCCATCACCCCAGCAGATAAACACAGCTCATGTCTGGTTTGTCTCTCTATGTCTGGTTTGTCTTTCTCTCTCTCTCTCTCATATTTTTATGCTCAAAAGTGAGAGGCTGGTCTTTGAACCTGTTTCTCATGTCATTTTAAAAACATAGCATAAGTTAATCAAAAGGTTAAAATAAAATGCACATGATATCAGAGCTAGCCTTTTAACATAAAATAGCATAATGAAGAATTTGGTGTATTTATACTACAGAGACGATGAGAAAATAACTCTTGATAGCCTCATCTAAATAAACCGTATTTCTACAATACATTGTTACCTTCTTCTATTTTTAACCTAAGCACACATTCATCTCTCTCACACACGTGCCCCCAATGTATATTTTTGCATGTGTGTAAAAACACAGACGGAGACAAGCACACAAGTAATTTAATTCTATTTTTAAGTCACAGTGGGAATTCCTTAGTGAGGAGGGGTAAAAAAAGTTCCTGAATAAGACACTGAGAACATCTAAATTTATTATTTTTTCTATTTTACTTCCCAACTTACAGAAGGAACTGTAAATTAAAGAATAACTCCATAGCAAATAAAAGAGGTCTTAAAAACTTAGTTTACAAATTCCAGCTACAGTAGTTGGGAGTTTTGCTTGATCTATGTATTTCTATTTACCCTGTAACTAAGCTTCTAGCCGTCTTAAGTGTAAACCACAGATCATTTACTAGAGAAACACGATTCCCAACAGTTCTATGAGCAGTAATAAATGGTCTAAAGGTGTTCTACATTGAGGCCCCAGGATATCCTTTTATTTTATATATCTGCAAGGTAGCAAAGGATAGCTATACACCTTGACACGGCAGAGATCCAGTGTAAAAAGGTGCTTCACTAGTTTGTTTTGTTAAAAAAACAAAAAACAAAAACAAAAAAACAAAAACAAAAAACCCAAAAAGCTCATATATAATTTCTTAAGCTATTAAAACACATAGGCAACATAATTCATTACACTCAATACAGCTTTAGTATAAAACTTATAATTTATGAGGTGATGTTAATAGTATAAATTAATATACCTTTTCTCTTAAAATCTACAATAAGTATTCTGAAAGCTCATTGGGGAAGGAAACTTTTAAATAAAACTTTTAAAGCTGTGCGTGATGGGAAAGGATTCTGTTTGCTGAAGCGGAGATGAGAGCCTGAAGGAGAAAGGAAAGAGGTCCTATGCGAGACACGGTGGGCTACAAAACCGAACGCTTTCTCTTTCTTGCACTCTCTTCAATGAGTCACCTTTAGTTTCTCTTAAAACTAGTTTCTTATTTTACAAACTGCCCTAATTTCCACAAGGAATCCCTGAGACATACTCAACACTATACAGTGAAAAGAAGAATCACTGCGAGGAGGGACTGATTGCAACCCTTCCGAGCAGATGAAGACAATGTCACCAGCATCCAGCTTCCCATCACTTGCACGCTTATCTGCTGGTGCCCACGGGGCCTTACCGACGCAGGGTGGAGTCAGTTCAGGGCAATCAGTCTATTCCCCAGGCAAAAGCACTGGTGTGGTTTCGCTGCACTGGAAGCTTCTACAGTGCATGGTGAACATTTTCCCAAGGGGAACTTTGGGTGCATATAGAGCTTACTTCAGTGGTCCCCAGCTCAAACGAAAACAAAAAACAAAACAAAACAAAAACAAGTGAAAGAGGTGGTGTCTATGACTCTTAGGCCAGGATCAGGGCAGATCAGGGGTGTATGTGTGTAGGCTTGAGAGGGGGATGTAGGGGAGTACTGAGGCCAGCAGGCAGGAGGGCAAAGGGAAGGAGAGCTGGGCTGCCCAACAGAGGCTTACTAAGAGTTAGACAACTTTTCTCTTACAACATTGTTTTTCAGACTCAACTTTAGATCCCCCAAAACTCCGCCACTCTAAGTAGTCAGACATCCCCAAGATTTGGGAACCTAGTTTCTGGTAAAGAAAGTCATACCAAATTTGCTCTCTCTCCCTGAAATACGATGTGTCCTTTATTGGCTCTGGATCACAGTGCAGAGAGAGGGAGGCTAAGAGAAGTTAGAGCTGAGGGCAAAGAGAATTTTTGCTATTTAGAAAAGAGGCTAAGTCGGCCCCACAATCTTTGCATTAATGACACTGGCTATTAGGAGACATAACTTATTCACTTGCATTTTAGGTTTTCTTTCCTAACTCACTGGTCAGGGGGAAACGCTGAACAGATACCCCAAATATGTTCTTCACTGGTATCTTATTTCAAATCTTTTGAAAGGTAGCCTTGAAAATGTCACTTTAATCTACTAAACATGAATTCTGGTTCCATGTGGAACAGGATACTGGGAAGCTCATAAGGCTGCAGATATTAAGAAGTCATTGTTTAACCTTTCTATAGAATGCCAGTAAAGATTCCGTATTTTCAATGTATTGTGAGAGGGGGGAAAATCTATGTTCTATCATATATATATTTCCACCTCCTACCTTACCCCCAAGAAATGTATTTCTCATCAGGAAAAAAATCCTTGGAACGATGTAGGTGTTGGTGATGAAAGAGATACAAATGAAGACTATTCAGTATGACATTTTCTTTTAAGGAATCCTTGAAATCGCCTCATTTGCCTGCAGAGTTCTGTTGACCATGTAGAAGACCACTGTATTAGACTAATCTATTATACCAGATTAAAAACAGAACTTAGTAGGATGTTAAAAGGCTAAAAAGAAGAGGTTGAAGAATGTGGAAACTAGATACCTAATTTTTAAAAATGAATTCCAAATCTATCAAAATAATTACCTTAGTGTTATGAATATCCTCATCTTTTTACAATACCAATCCACAACAACCTACTGAACTTGGAGGGAAGGCGATTGCCTCACACAAACATTGCTGATGCAGCCCACGACCGCCACCACCGCCCCTGTGATGCAGCGTTGCAGGAGAGACTGCGGGCAAGTAACACGAACCAAGGGCATGGGAGTTACCTACATATGCTCAAATTCTAGGGCCAAGTGATAAAAACCGAATGATACAGGGGTATGTGGCTGGCTCAGCTGGTAGCGCATGTGACTCTCGATCTCAGGGTTGGGAGTTCAAGCCCCACATTAGGTGTGGAACCTACTTAAACTAAAAAAACAAAGCAAAACTGAATGGTACAGGTCAATAGAAATATAAATTCTTTTTCATAAGAAGAAAGCTTACAAATCGGGCATGTATCACAGACACCATTTCCTTCCAAATCAAAGCACTGTCTTTGCCTCTGGGTTGTGATCATGGACTGCGAGCGAGCTCTGATAAGGAAAAGCTTTAGTGTTAGTCACAGAAAGTGAGGACTCTTAGCTTGCAGTTGAGAGACTGGGCCTATTGAAGAAATAAATCTTATAAATAATTATTTGGCAAAGATAAAGTATTAGCTTTCCTTAGCCTGATGCCACTCAAGACGGTAACTACAATTTTAAGAAAAACAAAACAAAAAACCAGACACATTTTCCAACTTTATGTCCATAGCTACTATTTGCTTCTCATTAAATTATAATCTCTTCGTGGAGGGACACTAGACACACCACACCGCCTGCCAGCATGAAATTGCTCAGGAAGTCATTTATAAAGCAGTTCTATCTCACGTGGTAGGTTACTAGAGAGAGAGGGGAAAAAAAATCCTTCACCATATAAGCTATGTGATGATAATTACAAAATTTTCCATTGCATAGTCTGTCATTTGGTGGGTTAAGTGTAATTGCTATTTACTACTATGAATTGTTTACTAGCTACATAACCTACGCAGATGTGCAAATTACTAAGCCATTTTTACAGAGGAGAAAACAATGTCTTAAGTACTTTAATTAAAATAATATTAACAATTATGTAGAGAGAGTAAAGGAGAGAAAACACATCTTTCCTTCGATGCTATAAGATCACAGCCAGTGAGTATCATTCCTTAGAATGGAATTCAGATTCTCCAAGCACAGAATGTATCCATGAACTGCAGCAACTTTGTAAGTAAATCACATTAACACAATCTAACTGGCCTTTATAAATGGTCCCAAAGAACTGCAGAGACAGTGAACTTCTCTGCCACTAGTTCTCATTTCACACTAGAATAAAAGCTAGTTTCCACCTAATTAGGACCTTATGTAAAATTTGTTTTTGATTCCAGTATTGCCTTATGATAGCATAAGTGCTATTTAAAAGACACTAATTTTCCTATTTCTGGAGTAAAAGACACTTCATTTCTTTCTCTACACATTAACAGCACACCTACTACTAATAGACTAGAATTGTTCCGTGTCAGCTAAAAGAAAAACGGGACCGGTATCTCTGGGTTCACAGACGTTCTTCTCGCTTCCAAAAAGGGACTCACAAGAAACCGCAAGAGCAAAGCGAATTGCAAGCTTGGCTATTTGTTTTGACAGAGATGAAAGGAGAGGACAAATTTGTGTTTTTTTGCTAATTCCCCAGACCTATGCTGGTACTCTCTACGGGTGCCCCTGTTTCGGCTATCACTGGGGGCATCTAAACAAAAATGAATTTACTCAAAGTTTTTGGTGTGAAGCTGTTAACTGGCAACATTCCTGATTTCATGCCTCCTTACTAGAAAGCAGGAAAAGGGCTTTTCAATGCACATAGAACAGAAAATTGCAAACAAGAAAATGTGCAACTTACTGCAAACTCAGTTTTGATAACTGAAGAATTTTAAGCAGCTACCACAAGGGACAAATAGCCAGAAAAGTTCAAACCGACTACCCGTGACTTTCCCTTTGCTGTCAAAGAAGGGCTGATAGATAAGATAGTCAGTGTGCTGCTGCTCTGCTACAACCTTGAATTTGTACACAGTGGAAACTAGATCGAATTGCTGGGAATGGACAGTTTTCTAGTGATGATTGTAACGGGAAGTGAAAGAGTGGAGCAAACTAAGTGATACTTTTGAGCAGAGGTAACTACTCGTAATCATTTCATTACAGTACATTAAAATAAAAAAGCTTACTAACATAGGTTTCACAGGTGAGAAATACTCAAATGATCTGTTCTCACCACTCAGAATAGAAATTTATGGTGATACCAAATATAATTTTGCTTTGTGACATAATTTATAATTTAGAAATTTCTCAATCTGCAAAAAAGGCAAAGCTATTAAAAAATAAATCTTCCAATCAATTATCATGATTAAAAAAAAACAAACTAAATATATTACAAATGTATTTTTGGCCCACAAAAAGAAACTTCAATAAATACAAACTAGGGCATATAATGATTTCATACAGTCACGTGACATTTCCCCTCCATAATCTCAGGCACATGGTATCTGCATAATGCCTGCTGATCACCATCATTCCTTTAAAAAGCAGAGAAAGAAAAGCTTTCAAAAGAAGGGACTGGTTAGAATTAGCATGGCATAAAGAGAATACATATAGGAAGTAGGAAAATACATCCAAATCTTTACCTATTGAAAAGGAATTAAGATCAAATATTCCCTGACAAATGAATTATTATATCACATCATTAATAGATATGTTCTCTACTCATCTTTTAAAATATATATATGTAAATTAGACTCGACTCAGGTATAAATAGCCAATGGTATCTCAGGGGACAGTGAAACTTCTCAGCAAAAGCAGAGCACAGATGCCTTTAGAATCTAGTTCCACCCATGGGGAGGAGGCAGGGGAGAAGGCAGGTAAAAAGAAACCTCACAGATTTATTTCATAGTCACCAACTTACTAAACTACCCAATATGATTTTTAACTCTAAAATCCTGGTACTTAAAAAAAAAAAAAAAGTCCCCGAACTTAAACCTAAGCCCTTCAATTATTTTAAAAGTACCAAAGGGTATGGGTAAAATTTATGTCTCGTTTCCATATTCTGCTTTGAGAGAAACTTTAAAATGTGTATCCTTCAGATATTACACATCACTTCACAACTGATACATTGATTCTACAAGTGTCTTCAACATTTTACAAATCTTACCGAAGAATCACTACTGTAAACATGAAAAAGTCAAAAGTAATAGACGGATCAAGGAGTTCAGAGATCCCATCTTTCCAAATCTATCTGACCTCTCCTGCTTTTTCAGATCAAAATATGGTCTTTTTTTATAATTACATCTCATGAATGTATTCCGTGAGAGAGGGATGGAGAAACAAATGCTCGTCTAAAAAGGCAAAAATAACCACCAGACCTCAGAATCTCAGCAACCCTGCAGTCACACTGCACGAGCTGGGTAACTTAGTGACATCCCCACGGCCCCAACGTGAATGCGGCCCGCTGCGCTCCTGGGTGACTTAGAAGAACAGTGTCGTGTAACTCGCCTGGTCGGACCACCACCCTCTCTACGCGGGAGACTGAGTTAATACAGCAGGGAGAAAATGGCCAACCTGATTGGGGTTGTGAGATGTGGGAAAGGAGAAGAGCCTTAGACTCATTAGGAAAAAAAAGAAACTACGACGACGACGGGACAGGTGCTTCCTGCCCTGCACAAAAACACACACGTGGGTGCACATACACACAGGCGGTCAAAAGACTAAAATTTTTTTCTTTTTAAATCGAACATGATCACAATTAGGAATGGAATCCTGGCCTCGTGCAGTGTTTAGCAGTTGGTGTGAAGTCAGAGCCTTGATCTACTCCCCTACGCACCATCTGCTATCACGTAGACGGGAACTCAATGGATAGGACCATTCTATATAGAACCACCTCTGTGAAGACCTGGTCATAGAATGGAAAGCATTGATCTGAATACTAGGAAATAGTAAAGGGCACTGGTAATCTGAGGTATCTTCCACTTCTAGGACTTGCTGCTAAAAATCAATTCTATCCAGTCACGGTGCTGAGCCACTGAGGAAACCACTGGGGTAGAGTGAACCTGCCAGGAGGGAATGAGCACCAGTGCAAAGGAGCACATGTGAACACTGAAGCAAGGTCCACCGCGGGATTACTTGTTTAACTGGAAAAGGGAGCGTTCCCCCTTTGTCCCCACCTGTGATTTTTAAAATCTTCTTTAGGAAAAGGGGGAAAGGGATGAGAAACAGGAAACAAAGATAGAAAACACCAGGTTCCCCACCTGCCTGCAAACCCACAGACACGCTCAGTTAGGGGAGGTAAAGGGAGAAGATGCATTATTGGTACTTGTAGCTGTGGCACCTGTTACTGTGAAGCCTGTAGGAGGGGCTATCGAGCTGTGGCTGGGCTGCAGGTCCTTAGGAATGCCACTGTGAGAACCCAGCTGGTGGCCGAAGGCTGCGCTGAACTGAGGGAGCTGCTGCTTGGGAGAGGTGGAGGCCATGAGTTCAGCAGAAGGCCCCATGCCACTGAAGCTGGTCTGCGGTAACCCCGGAAGCACACTGGAGCTGCTGGGGGTCACGGTGGCGAAGGCAGGCTGTGTGGTCTCTGAGTTCGAAGTGGTGGGTGGCGTGGATAGGGAAGTGGAAAGAAGATGTCCATCTGCGCCGAGAAGGTTGCTAAATGGAGAGGGGTCTCCAAGGTTGACAGGGAGATTGCCCCAGTGAGTTCTGGGGTTTACGACTCCTCCAAGTGGCACCTCGAGTGGGGTTGGGAGCAAGTGCTGCGCCATGATGGGCATCTCTGCTGAAAAGGTAGCTGCCATATTATCACCAGAGTAAGATGTCGTGTGGGGAGAGGTGATATGGTCACTATAGGGAGACGGCACGTGCTCACTATCATAATGGCTTCCATGGGGCGAGGAGTGTGAATGATCACTGCTGTATTGCTGTCGTGAGGTGATTAGGTCATCTGCCTTGCTCAGCAGCTGGGCAGGATGTGGCCTCTGGGAGGCATGGCTGCCATCATGTAGTCCATGAAACTGTCCTGGGAAGGCTCTCTCCCCAAGTGCACTCTGGCTCATCAGAGTGGCAGAAGTAAGGCCGACGTTGGCTGGGGCAGAGAACTGCCCCTGGATCTGCCCTGCCAGGGGTGTAGGTGGGTTAGACAAGGTAGCAGAACGGAGCAGGTTCTCATCCAGCTCTAGACTAGAAAAATTATCATGTACTATGCGCCCATTCAGTAGCTCCCCTAGGTCCGTGTTTACTTCTCGGCTCAAGGACTGAATTCCTGAAGCTCCAGTACCTGCGGAGAACACCCCTATTCCTCTATCTGACAACTCCTGGACTGGCACACCATCTGACTGAGTAAGTACCCCAATGGTACTCAGGCACTCAAGAGAAGTTACAGCCTGTAAGGCCCGTTCAAGTTCCTCGGCCTCTTCGGTAGTTGGAAGGAGGTCTCCATTCTTTCCTGAGTAAAACAAAAGCCGTCAAGAATCAGCAGAGTTTTTACTTGTCCCATACCACAGAAATCACACGTCTGAATTATTTTTTAGCAATATTCTATTAACGGGGTGCCTGGGCGGCTCAGTCAGTTGAGCATCTGACTCTTGGTTTTGGCTCAGGTCAAAATCTCAGGGAGTGGGATCAAGCCTTGCATCAAGCTCCACGCTCAGTGGCGAGTCTGCTTAAATTTCTCTCTGTCTCTCAAATAAGTAAATCTTTAAAAAAAAATGGGGCACCTGGGTGGCTAGTCAGTTAAGCATCTGCCTTCAGCTCAGGTCATGATCCCAGGGTCCTGGGATCAAGCCCCATTCAGGCTCTATGCTCATCCTCACTCTCTTTGTTTTTATAAAGAGTTTATTTATTTATTTGACAGAGAGAGTGAGCAAGCAAGCAGAGGCAGAGGAGAGAGAAGCAGGCTCCCCCCAGAGCAGGAAGCCCATGTGGGGCTCGATCCCAGGACCCTGGGATCATGACCTGAGCCAACAGCAGACGCTTAAGCAACTGAGCCACCCAGGCGCCCCTCTCTCTTTGATAAATAAATAAAACCTTTAAAAATCAAAACAAAATAAAACCAGGTGGCTGGGTGACTCAGTCAAATTAAGCATCTGACTCTTGATTTTTATCTCAGGCTTGTGGGATTGAGCCCCGCAGTGGGCTCTGCACTTAGCAGGGAGTCTGCTTGAGACTCTCTCCTCTCTCTACCCCTCTCCCCTATACATGCCCAAACTCTCTCCCCCAAATAAATAGATCTTTAAGAAAAAACTAAACAAAATGAAATATTGGAATAGAGAAGCTTCCCAGGACTGGACTGGAAGGAAAGAGTGAAATATTAATCTGTAAGACAGGCCTGAAAGGTTGAGCTGTCCTGGAACCTGTATCCCATCTTCAGTTATTCACAGCATTCCCTAAACTCATCTCATTGAGGCATTAAATTAAGGATTCTAAGCAATACTAACTAAAATGCATGGTAACTGTCTGACCACACATGGGTTTTTACATAAACTTATGTCAAAATCATTAAAATAGAAGATGTGTCATATTGGTTCAGCCGGGAGACAAAAGGCTGTGTAGGAGTCCCCCTTGGTTCTTCTGCTCTTAAACTCCTTCCTCCAGTCGGAGGGGGCTGTGGAAGACTGGAATACAGAGATTCATGCGTGCATGTGAGCACAACACTCTGCAATCCGCTCCACTCCCCCATTATCTTTTAAAACGCTTTTGTGTGACCCGTTAATCCTGCTCCTCTCATTCTAGTTTTCATAAAACAGAAGCCCATGGGCTGCCGTTAATTTCATTTCCTATATAAAAAAATCTATATATTTGGGAACTTGACTAATCTCCACAAAAATACTGTTTTTAATGGTGAAAGGAACATTCTAAGAGTACAAAAATAGGTTTCCCCTGAAAGCACCAGAGAACTGGTGGGATTAAGCAAACTTTGTTTTGGGAAAATACACTTCAACTGAAGTACAGGGTGAGGTATTAAGATTAGGAGAAAACCTAAAAGGCTTCAATAAACTCAAATTTAAATGTTTTTGTTGAAAAAAAAAATCAAGTAAAATGACTCATTTTAAAGCAACAACGTTAAAACCTAACAATCAAATCATTAATCTCCTAAGCCTATAGTAATGGTGAACACAAAGTGCACATCCCTGCCTTGTGAAATGGGTAAAATAGCTTTAGCAGCGCTGCATTTGCCATTGACAGTGAAAGTATGTATGAGGAGCACTTCAAACACATCTCGAAAACACGATTTCCTTTTTTAAAAAACTCATTTAAAAAAACACAAAAACTGAAAATAAAAAATAAAAATAAAAAAATAAAAAAACACAAAAACTGGACTTGAATCAAAATGTTGACCATACCTTCAAAAAAATCAAAATCTTGTAAGTCATCAGGTAGCCGTGGCAGGACATCTGAAAAGTCCTCCTGGTTCAATTCCAAGTCATGTGGAATGTCAGTGATCTCATTGGCAATGTCATCCGGCAACTCATCAGCACTCAGCTCTGGCGTGGACGGGCTCCTGGGGAAGAGGACACGGTTGGCCTCACCACTCCCCCTTTACCTTCACACCAGTGTCCCAGAAACAAGTTCATCAAACATGAAGATGTGAAATCCTAACTCAAATGTCTCCTTTTCCTACTTTCAGAGACGGAAATGTGATAGCAAAAGGAAGATCTCACCATACACAGTCATGTAGTTCTCTGGCTTGTACCCATGTATTTAGGCAATCATTTTGAGATAATATGTTTACTTCATTAGTAGAATGAATTACCATTTTGTGTACTGTGTTTTAATACTTTTTAGTAAATTTCAAATCTAGTCAAAATAATAACTTAAAAAAATGAAATAAACAGAAAAAAGGGAAAATGCTTAGCTGAAACAGAAGCCTTTGGCTAACCCCTGCCAAAATTGGTAATGCACCAGATTTCTGATGTAATATTTCTGTTAAAACATACATGGGATTTCTGTTAAAACAGAACAATCTGAGAGTGGCAATTAAATTCTTGATTTCAGCATCTGCTTTCTATGTTATAGCCAAAAGCTTTATTTCAGATCTCACTCAATCAAATATCTGGTAGAAATTAGAATGAAAACTACAAAGTCTAGGCTAATCTATCGAATGGCTTCTGTAGCCCAGCCACAAGGCTAGAGAAGAAAGTAAGGCTAAGTGCTCTGAGAGCTATCAGAACATAGAAAGGAAACATAAGCTTTGGTGCTGTCACTGACCGGATCTGGGCAGCCTCCACTGGCAGTGAGACGCTGGTGGGCATGCTGAGGTTTCCTTGGGGCACTGCAGGGGGAATGGGTTTTTGGGGTCGACGAGGTCCACGCCTTCTCTTTTTCTTATGTTTTTTGGTAAGTGCAGGAGGCTTGGTTTTTTTCCTGGGTTTCCTCTGCTGCTGGTGCTGAACTTTACGGGAGCTATCTCCTCTCAAGAAATTATCCTTTAGAATGAAGAAATAGGCATTTTTAAACTGAGATTGTTTGTGAAAAACCCAACAGCTACCTGAAAGAAAATATATCTCTTAACATTGTATGGAACGCTTAAAACATGCCTACAACTATGCCTAAGAATAAGTAAATGAGAAAAAAAGAATTCATTTTTTAATTTAAATCAAATCAATTCAATATATACATACAGTTCATCCCCCACTTAAAGACACCATGAAACTGTAATAGGCCAAGGGAGAGATGTGGGTGGGTAGAAAGGATGGGGAAAAAAAGACAGTGGGATAGGTGTGTAGGGTAAAAATACAATGAATGAAATTGCACTCTAAAAAAAACTTACTCTTCCACAGGAAAAACATGAATACAAGTATACTTAAATATACAATGAAAATAGGTCAATAATGACATTAAGTACCTTCTAAGGGTATATAGAAGGAAAATCAATTATTTTTTGTTTTGTGTGATTAAAAAAAAAGTTGGATTTTAAGTCACTGGGGTGTTATTTCCGGAGAGTCACTTCAGCAGTCAACACAAGATAAACGGCTAAGGGCGATGTGAGCGGGGAATGGAAAAGCAATGCCCCGTAGGCACAGAATTGTCAAGATCTGAGAGCTCCTTGGATGTGGTGAGGATGAAAGGAAGAGAGCACCTGAAGACATCTCTGGGGTTTCTAGGTTGGGTGACTGTTAGATGATACCATTTGCTGGAACAGAGCGCAGAGTGGAATAAGGATTCAGAAGAAAAAGTAAGGAGTTCAGTTTGGCTCACAAACAATTTGGGGTATGAAGATTTTCTAGGCGATAGGAAAAAACAGCATGAGGGATAAAGAATGGGATGGACACGTAGCTTCAGAAATCATGACAAAGTAAAAGTCCTTCAGATAATTTACACAGGCCAGGGAGATACGGTAGAGAGAGGAGAGAAGACAACCAGACTGCAGTTTATAAAACGGTTGCAATTAAGTAAGCAGACGTCTGAGAAAGAACCAGCAAGGAAGAACAAGAAATTAACGATATAACCAGTTTTCTTCAGCCGCAACCCTTCAATCTGAATATTGCATTTCACTAATTCCAAGATACATATTTTAGTATCTCTGCAATTGAGATGCCTTTTACAACAATTGCTGTTGGGCCCAGGGATGGTCACTGTAGCTGGCACTGCCTACATATGTGCAAGGGTGAGAAAAGTTCTTGGTACTGTCACTGTTTGAGTCAAGATATGGACATTGTTGGTGTAACACGAAGAGGAAAGAAAAACGGTTGTGTGTGCAAAAAGTTGAGCAATAGGGGATCCCTGGGTGGCGCAGTGGTTTGGCGCCTGCCTTTGGCCCAGGGCGCGATCCTGGAGACCCGGGATCGAATCCCACGTCAGGCTCCCGGTGCATGGAGCCTGCTTCTCCCTCTGCCTGTGTCTCTGCCTCTCTCTTTCTCTGTGACTGTCATAAATAAATTTAAAAAAAAAAATTAAAAAAAAAAAAAGTTGAGCAATAGGGTATAAAACTGCCATCAGTGAAGCAAATACTCATTATTGAAGACATGACCATGATTCCTTTGTGGGTATTTTTTTTTTTTTTTTGAGAAAGGAACATAGCCACAAAGTAGACAAAGCTGTGCTATAGTTGATGTACATAGACAATACTGCCTTTTCCATGTCAAGGAATTCAGCGGAAACGAAGGAAAGCAATTCAGCATTAGGGAAGATAAAAAAAAAATCTATGTCCAATTAAGTCTACAGAAGCTATTTAGATAAATATAAAACAGAAATTATAGGTGACAAGAAATGCACTGTGCTGTGTTTTTATTTCCTGGTGGTATGTAAAACAATTGTGGTTTTTACAATTGACATCACCTTTAATGAATTCAGTAGTAACCCAAAACTAAATACGTAAAAAGAGTACGGACAACAGTATTTGAAAACTAATAATAATCACTAGCATTAACAATTATTAATACTAGCAAACAAATTCAAGACAAGAAAGAATAAGATTAAAGTATCAATTCAAGAAATCTAAAAGAAGTTTAATATGAGCCAAATACTTGAATCTAAACACAGACTCAAGTCATAAATGTACAAATTTGTAAAACAAACCAAAAAAAGAAAGGCTATTTCCCAGCCTCTGTAGTTCTCAGGCTCGATACTTGAGGTCTACTTTTATTATATCCACTATGTAATTCAACAAAGAGAGTCTGAGCAACCACCAGTTCCATCCCAGGCTCTCCCTCTAGGACCAGTACAGATGTTAGGTGAGGGAAACTTTGGCCCAAGATACACGTGTCCTACTTTAAAGACACTCCCATATCACCTAATTCTAGTGCTAGGTGTCTGTCTTATTCTCCTAAACTTAAACCTCGTAGGCCAACGTTTTTGGTAATGGGCCAGGTACTCCACACAGAACTACCCTGGACTGAGGTCCCACCATGCTCTTGGTAGTCCACCACAAAGGTCCTCTGTAAAACTGGAGCCCCTGCACCCTAGGACCTTTCCTAATGCCAACTGTTCATTGCCTACGCTATTTGTAAACACCATTCCCTGCCAACTTGCTGTCTCATTCTACTTACGTGCCAGGACACTGCCTTTACTAACTTACCATCCATTTTATGGGCTCATACTCATCAAATACCATGTTCTGTGTGCCAGCCTGGACTTCCTGAAGCTTGAGCTTCTTCTACCAATGGCTACTCTGTCCAGTGGAATCTAATTCCAAATTTCAACCTTTCCCAGCCATGTTTCTAACTGTTATTCAGCAATTACTTAATTGAGCATCTGTTCTAAGCACTGAGGATATAGCAATGAACAAAAAATGTTCCTGCTTTTGTAAAGTTTACATTTTAGTAGAGGGATACTAGCAATAAACTATTAGTTAATAGTATGATATTAGGCTGATACCAATGTTAGGAAGAAAAACAAGGTAGAGTATGAGGATAAAAAATGACAGGGTAGGGGCAGTCCGGGTGGCTCAGAGGTTTAGCACTGCCTTCAGCCCAGGGTATGATCCTGGAGTCCTGTGATCGAGTCCCACATAGGGATCCCCGCATGGAGCCTGCTTACCCCTCTGCCTCTCTCTCTTTCTCTCTGTGTATCTCTCATGAATAAATAAAATCTTAAAAAAAAAATGACAGGGTAGAGGGGAGGTGGAAGACTTCTTTGATGAAGTGACAACTGATTGGAGACCTGAATGAGGGAGGGAAGGAGGTAGAAATGGAGGAAAAGAACATCCTAGGAAAAGAGAAAAACAAGTGGAAAGCCCATGAGTTGGGGGTGTTGAAGCAGAAGCAAGAAGGCTGATGCTGCTAGAACTCCAGAAATAAGGGGAAGGTACAAGGTGAAGCAGGAGAGATTGCAAAGACCAGATGGGTAAGTCTCAAAGGCCATGGTAAGAATCGTGGATTTGATTCTGGATCTGATGGAAAACCACTGGAAGGCTCTGACCAGGAAACTAAAATGACCACATGAATATTATCAAAGGCTTGCTCTAATGGGCACATACTATAGATTCCAATTATAAGACATTCTAGAAAATGTAAAATCACAGGGACAGGAAGACAGTGGAGATGGAGGAAGAAGTAGACTGCAGAAGGGGAGCACAAGAGAATTTAGGGTGTTAGTGACATATCTTATTATGTAGTCGTTACAGGACTGTGTGCATTGTCAAACTCAGAACCGTAGACCAAAAACAGTGATTTTTACTGCATATAAACTCAAAGGAAGTGGAACACACACAGCCTACTCTGGCTGGTGTGTGAATATGTCCAGGTGGGGTGCAGGGCAAGAAGAAGGGAGACCAAATAGGAGACTATTATAGTAATCCAGGCAAAGGTGATGACCAAGGCTAGAATGTACCAGCCAAGCTGGCACAATGTGTTTGGATTCAAGACAGTTTGAAAGTAAAATCAAGAGATCTGTCCAGTTCTTTTCACCCAGTGTGAGTCTCTCACTGTGGGACTGATAGGCTACAGATGTTGGCTATACTAAGCTGTAATTTTTAACTTAAACAGTCCTTGTTATACATTTAGCTGGTTGCAACACCAGGATCACAGCTTATACTATTAAGTCCTGGTCCAATGGCCATTCAGTTACCCTGATGCACCCCTGAAACTGCAAAATGCTTACAGAGGGGAAAAAATGGTCTTATTCAGCTTTTTAATACATATACCTTACATACTACCTTGCAAATAGCAGGACTCAGCAAGTATTGGGGTAAAAACAGTAAAAAAGCACTTCTTTTAAGTAATGATAGAATTCAGATAGTCTACTAGTTCAGACATACCTCTCCTTCAAATTATTCTGAAGGGCTTATGATACATTAACAAAAGCAATAATTAAGTTCAATAGAATTATAGAAAGGATTGGTTTTTGGCTGAAACTTCATCAAATATCTAAGACAGTCACAGAATTGCATATAAAAAAAGCAAAAAATCTAAAGAAATGGGGCAAAGAAAGCTTGAAAAACCTGTTAAGTAGTAAGAAAATGTACCTTAATGAGAAGGGAAGTAAAGAATAGGGATAGACAATAAAATAATCATATGTGAGTAACTACTAAATACCTCCTAGAACATTTTTTTTAAAAAAATGAGGCTATGAAATTAATCCAGTGGCTCATGATCAGCATATATATTAATATTTTATATACATATTTATATATTAATATATACATTTACACACAGTTTGTACTAAATTAAGAAACATTTTCTACTGTGGATTGCTATCAGAAGTTTGAAAGCCTCAGCTGCAGAAAATAAAATCTGAACTCACCATTTTTTTGGCATGTTCTTCACACAGAGGGGTCTGGTGTGTAATGTCAAACACGGGCACAGAGCACTGCTGTCCGTCTGCAAACTTGGCCGTGCAACTTGAGAAAAGCTGCTGAGAGCGGTTCAAGAGGATATCTGTGGTTTTCAAAGTTAGGAATATAATGCACTGAAACTCAAATTATTTATTAAGTTTTAAATTTTTATATAAAATCTACTCCTGGAGTACCTGGGTGGCAGAGTCAGTTTAGCACCCGACTCTGGTTTTGACTCAGGTTGTGATTTCAGGGTCATGGGTTTGAGCCCATCTGGGGCTCCATGCTCAGTGGGGAGTCTACTTGAGATTCTCTCACCTTCTCCCTCTCCCCTGCAGCACGCACAAGCACGCTCTCTCAAAATAAAGAAATTAACCTTTAAGAAAAAAAAAATCTACTTCTTCCCTTACTTCTATTTGTAAGTAATACATTTTCTTATCCTTTAAAGCTGAAGGACCAACCCCCACTACTGATATGGGAAATGATCATTGTTGAATTTATCAGAAGATATTACTAAAGGAGACTATTTTGCTAAGGGCTCCGAATAGGAGTCTCCTTTATGGACATTCTGATTTTTGTTATTTGGAAAACAGAGGGTTGTTTCCTTCTTAAATACACTATCTCTTAAAAATTCCACTACAATGGTTAGAAAAAAAATCACTCTCTTTTAAGGAAAACTTTCACATATAATTCTCATCAAGAAGAATAAAAATTTTAAGATATAATTAAAAAAAGCTCATCTATCCAAATTTGATTTTCCATTTCCCATTTCCAACACAAAATTCAAATTTATAACTTATGAAAAATTACTTTTATATCAAAACTTTACCATTAAAACTGGAACATCACCTTTACTTTGTCAACATTTCTAAGCATCCAAACTTTTAGGCCCTAGCACATTTCCTCAAGACATACTTTACACCTATCAAGAAGGTACCTTTCTGTTTTACCTTTATGCTTTTATAGTTAAGGCTATTTATAAAACCTTTGCTGTGCAGAAAGGGCTGCTAAAAAAGTTGTGAAATTTTAATGCCAAAGAACAGAAAGGAGGGCAAAAAAGTCAAAGATAATAAAGAAGAGCAAGTAATTGCTACTGTATAAATTTTTTAAATGCTACTCAATTTTAAATGTTTAATAAAAGTGAGAGTAATAAGATTTCATAACCAGCCTGAAGCCCTTTACCACACAGGTTTTCCTCAAGTATATTCTGTCTTAATGTATCTTCTTTCCTAGTCAGTGATGTTTATCTTTCTTTCATTTCAAATCAGCACTGTGCTCCATAAAAAGAAATTATTCCCAGACCAAAAGGCACATTGTGTGTAACTTTCTTGGAAGACTAAAATCAGTTTTTGAATAATAGGACATGATTTCTCCATCAATAAGTGTTATAGTTGCTTCTCACAAGCTACTTAGAACCACTGCAAGAACCAGAATTCTTTTAATTTAAGTGATGGCCTCGGAAGAAATCAGCTACTTGGTATCGGTTTCGCAGATTCTAATGTAATTCTTGAATAAAGAGTCACAATGACAGAAGCAGAGAAAAAATTATTAGGAAGACATCATGAAAAAGAGAAGTTGTATAAAAATTTTAAACATAAAATAGTTCTGATTATAGAAGTCATTCCCTTGGCTTAAGAATGAAATACTAGCGCCCAATGAGTGAATACTTTTCAATGCACATTCAATTCAGTTAAGAGGATACGCTGGAAACAATGTCTGGTGAATGGAAGGGCTTTGTTAGGGCACCGTTCACCCTTCATGGTTCCACTGCATGCTGCTGGCTCTACCTCCCTTGACTTGGTCCGGCTTATGCTAAGAAAGCAAAGAGACAAAATTAACTTTGAAAAATGCTTTAAGAATCCAGGGCAACTTTTCAGCACTATGTTAGCAGATCGTAACACCAACATTTTACCTATGTTCATCAACTAAAGGTAAATAGGAGTTATAATGACCAGTTCCAGTATTTCCCCAATCTACTGACAAAACAATTATTGTATTATTATCGATTTCAACTATCCCTGTTTTTTTCCTATTTTAAGTGTTATTTCTGGTTCCTTTTACTAAGAGGCAGTGAGTAAACAAAAAAGTGATAAAGAACATGAGCCTAGATCAGTCAGGCCTAATTCTGAATCTCAGCTCTAACTCCTCCGGCTGCGTGATCTTGGGCAAGTTACTTAGCCTTGCTTAAGCATCAACTTTCTCACCTATCAAGTGAAGATAAGAGTACTTTTGACTGATAGGTAAGCACCAAAAGACACAACACATCTAAAATACTTACCACATATAGTAGATAGTATAATACCTAGTAAATGGTCAATGGTTGTTAGTTGCTGGTATTATTATCCTCATTAGATTTTGGTCATGTCAAGCTGCAAAAAACTTGATCTAATATAGGAGGAAGGGGATAATGACCTGCAGAAGTAACTGATTTGCTCTCCAAAATGAACTCACTTTGGATATATTTTTAAAACTTTTTATAATATGTGCAACTCCATCTTTCATTAAATGTTATCTCCACTCTGTATATTCAACATTTAAATATTTGATGCATTCACATGGTTCCAGAAACACCAAAGAATAAAAAGTTAGGCAGCAAAGAGTTTCTTTTCTACCCTTGTCCCAATTTGCCAGTTCCCAGTCCTTCTATATTAAGTATTCATTTCATTAGTTTATGGGATCTTTCCACAGTTTTATACAAACATTAAAAAATAAAAATAAACAATAATGAAGTTCTTAGAAGCATAAAACTGTCCTGTTTATTTGACTCTCTTATGCATCACAAACTGGTAGGACTTTACACATGTCTGAGGTAGGAAAAGCATCTACATAATATACTAAAATCACACGTGAGGCATCAAAATTATCTTTTGAATTGTTTCTGTATCTAAGAAATTCAGTGGAATGATTTATACTGATTAGAAGGTCATATAGAACCCAAATTACATATGAATTTACAGAAAATCTAAACAAAATTTCTACTATAACTTTCATATACACAGTAAATGCAAACAGAGAACCAGGAGCTGCCATCAAAGTTGCTTTAACTAAGAGTTCTGGGGAAAAAAAAGTAAGTTCTGCAAAATACATCAGAATCACAAGAGCTGGGAAGTGAGCCATTAAGTTAGGTCTGCAAAAAGGATACACAATTTCAAATGAAGCTGTACTATTGCGGCAGTTTATCCCATTCTCTTGGTCTAGATTAAATAGAAGGCAGTTCTCTATATTGAATGGATTATTTTTGTGGGACACTTCAGTAATCTGTTCAGCCATCTACCAAGCCTAGCATATAACACATTCCCTCATTTTTATCTAACCTAGACTTCGGAGGGAACTACCAGTTTCATTTTGTAAAACTGATGATATGTTCCAACTCAACAATCTTTCTCTTAAACAGTAAAATAAACTCAGTCAGAATTTCAATACCCCCCTGGATAATTGAGGTAAAAATGCCTGATGTTAGACAGATTTTATTATCCAAATAATCCCAACAAAACAAAGGGAGAATTTACCAAAACATTTTGATATTTTTTAATGTGAAAACACCTACTACAAGGTTCCCTTTTGTATGATTAGATCCTCTCCCTTCACAATAGTTTCTACACAAACAACACTAGCCTCTGCAGGATTGTTGGCTACAAGATACTCAGATGAGTTTATATACTTAACCTATTTCAGTGGCTTATTCCACATATTCACCAATATATATGACAAAGCTATTAGATGAGAAAGAATAATGTTACTCAGTTTATATTCAAACTGTATGTTAAAGAGTATTTATTAAAAAGCAGTCATTAAAGTTTTAACTTCTAAAACATTTAAAAGCAACTTTTTAAATGTCTTTTGAGGGGTGCCTGGGTGGCTCAGCGGTTGAGCATCTGACTTTGACTTGGCGTGATCCCGGGGTCCTGGGATCGAGTCCCACATCGGGCTTCCTGCAGGGAGCCTGCTTCTCCCTCTGCCTATGTCTCTGCCTCTTTCTCTCATGAATAAAAAAAAACAAAGTCTTAAAAAAAAAAAAAGTCTTTTGTGAAATTAGTCTTTGAAAGCAAAAATATCAAATAGCTGACAGCTGATTTTTTTGAGTCTAAAATATAAAGTACTACACTACCAATCACCAACAAATGATTATGGCTCACTGTTAAACGATTATCAGGGAGGCACTGGGCAATAAACCTTTTATTAAACATGAGTGACATAACCAAATGACATCAAATAAATTTGAGAACTGAATATTAGAGTTCACCTTGGTATCTGTTTAGTAATTTAGTTATCATGAAATTTTTTTTTTTTTCCCCAAATCACTGATGATGGTTTGGGAAATGTTTTGAAAAAAAGCAAGAGTGTGTGGTGGGGGATTGATTCTGCTGGTTAAAAATCATAGATAAATATAGTTTTCTACACAAATACCAAATTGTCTCAAACTCAAGAGTACAGTCCCTTACTTACACCTTTGACAAGGTCATAATAATATACTAGATTCAATGTACACAATGCTCTACATACAGATTGCTTCAAGCTGGACAAAACGAAGTCTCTACTGAAATTGTACACTTGAAAGCCTTAACTAACATAAATGTTAGGTATCATTATTTTAAAACCTATGTCAAACCAGTGAATTCTTTCAAATAGAGAACAAGTGTCTCTTCACTTATTTAATTTCTATCCATCAATGCTAGAGATTAAAAAAAAAGTACATTGCTCCTGCCCTCACAAAAATGACTGTCTAGCTTGGGGCGCCTGGGTGGCTCTGTTGGTTGAGCATCTGTCTTCAGCTCGGATCATGATCTCAGGATCCTGGGATCCAGCCTGGCGTGGGGCTCCCTGCTCAGCGGGGAGTCTTTCTCTCTCTCCTGGCCACCCCCCATTCCCCGCTGCTTGTATTCTCTCTCTCAAATAAATAAAATCTTAAAAAAAAAAAAAAAAAAAGATGACTGTCTAGCCTGACAGAAATATTGGTATACAATTCTACAATGAAGCAGGGTACAGAGCACAACAGGCACATATAAGAGGGTATCCTAACATAGGGGAACCTGGGAATGTTTCTCTGAGAAAATAAGTCTCTCAGTAAATAAGCTAATACTTAAAAGATGTTCTAGAATAGACACTACCTTCTCCCCTACACAGGAGTGGGGGCTCCTAGAGTGAGGGAATATACTGCAGGCAGCAATCATTATGTAGGCATATTAGACCACATACAAAGTTTCAAACAACTCTGAATATGCCAGGCAACAGAAAATTTTTAAGGGCATAGTAGTTTTTAATATATGCATTTGAAAAACAGGTTATTCTTTTTATGACAAATATAATGAACACCAAAATACAGAAAAGCAAAATGAAATTTCAAAAATATCTGCTAAAAAATATGATCAGTAGCTATAAAACAAAGGTTATCTTTTTTTAGTTTTGTTTTAAACCCTTTTCCTCTGATTCGTGATCACTATATAAAAATTAGAACAAACAGACTACTTATTTTTTTTTAAATCAATAATCCCACCCTCTAGAGATAGCCACTGCTAATATTTTGGTATATAAGCTCCTAAAAATGTGTGTGTGTATGTGTGTGTATACCTGAAGGCTGTTATGTGAAAAAAAAAAAAAAAAAGTGTGAAACAAACTCCATAAAGAACTATGTCTTCTAAATTGTAAAATTATTTCTTTAATTAAGTATGAAGATATTTTGGAATATTTCAATCCAATTAAGCTAGTATTTTTAAAAGGTACATAACCTAAATAAGTAATTATTTAGTCTTCACCACCTAATTTCCAAAATGGTAATAACACCATAATTTCTTCACTGAAAAATCAGATAACTCTACATATCCAATATATGGAATTTTAGTCAAGAAAATAGTACACACACATTAAAAATCATGTTTTCATAATAATACCTAAGAACATAGGGGGATAGCTATAATATATTTTTAAGGGAAAAAACTGGACACAGCTGTTAAAGTATACAGACCCAGTTTTACTTAAATACATACATAAAACAGAAACAGTCCAAGGATTGACGTCATATTATAAAGCCATTAAAAGCCATGTTTTAAATAATTATTATTGAGAAAAACGTCATATTCCAATATTAAATGGAAAAAAGGAGAAAATATATTATGCACATGGCTTGACCTCAATTTTGTGCTTTAATACATAAGCATGGCTCACTAGGGATTCCTTACACACGCATACACACACACATGAAGAAAAAAGACTAGAAAGAAACAATCACAATGCTCATAGTACTCATTCTCGGTTTTGTGCAGTGATATCGTGGAAATGTCTCCCTTCTTTATGTTCTATTTTTTCAAATTTATAACAAGCAAATACCTGGACTACAAACAGAAAAGATTTCCCCCCCAAAAAGAAATGCAATGTAGTATTCTGAAGACAGAAAATACGCTAGAAAGAAAACTTTAAAATAATTTAAGAAACCTAAAATACTACTTCTGTAGTAAAACAAAACAAAAACCCCAACAACTATAAGCATTACTTCTAATACATGAAATTTTTAAACATTGTTATCTTTTTAAAGACAGGTAACATTCCCAAATACGTTACTGAATAAATTCTAGTCAAACTCTGGCAAAGTAACAGCCAGGCTTTTACTGACAGCTTGTGGCGCTGTTCTTCTGCCACCTGTGTAGAACTTTATCTGAGCCACAAACCCAAAATGCCAACGCCTGATTATTTCAGGCTTAAACGCCCACTGCCCACTGTGTCTCAACGATGCCCTTGAAACACACAGAAAACGCAGGCGCCTGGGTGGCTCCGCGACTCACTGCTTGAGTGTCTGCCTCTGGCCCAGGGCTTGACCCCAGGGTCTCGGGATCGAGTCCCGCGTGGAGCCTGCTTCTCCCACTGTCTGTGCCTCCCTCTCTCTCTCTCTCATGAATATTTTTTTTTTTTAAGATTTTATTTATTCATGAGAGACACACAGAGACATACACAGAGAGAGGCAGAGACACAGGCAGAGGGAGAAGCAGGCTCCATGCAGGGAGCCCGACGCGAAACTCGATCCCGGGTCTCCAGGATCACGCCCTGGGCTGAAGGCGGCGATAAAGCGCAGAGCCACCTGGGCTGCCCATACATTTTTTAAAAAATCTTAAACAAAACAAAACAAAACAAACCCACAAATACAGAGAGCCGAGGCGAGGTGCCGAGAGGCGGTGGCGCTCACCTGGTGCGGCGGCACGCCGCTCTGCGCAGATCCTGCATCAGCTGCCCAGTGCTCTCGGGCTCCCGGCTGGCCGCCTGCAGCAGGGCTTTCCTAAACGTGTGCCGGCATTTCTTTTGACGCGATTCTGCCCGTTCCAGGCGGCAGAGGTGCTTATATTTCTGCTGAAAGTAAGTGCAAAGTTGGGTCACCCTGGAGCTCCTACTCTCCGTATCATCGTCATCTGACCTGGAAAGCGCAGGGAGAGAAGTGAGAAACCGATTAAAAGTTAGGCTCAGTGGGGGGTGTGGGGGGGTGAGGAAGCTGGTCAGGTGCAAAGGGGTTAAAATCTGTGGCAGGTGACCACCAATGTCACCAAGGAGGGGCTTTCCAGAGCTGAAGGCAAGTACGATATGTCAACAATAAATAAGGCAGCAGAGACCACCCAACTCCTTCAGATGCTTCCCTTGCTCCGCATGTCACAGTTAAAATACTTCATACATCAGGCTCTTCTGAATTTTAAGAGACTAGGGGGTTCTCAGGAAGAAAATCATTCCTTTACTTTTGCTGACTACAAAGTCTGAGTAAATGACAGGGCGGGGATGAGGAAACACTCAGCATCATTTCATTAAAGAGAGGTCGTACCAGAAATAGAGCACTGAATTCCACCAGGGTCTTATCAAAGAGCTGCCCTTTCAGATGTACTGGCTTTAACTACCCTTTTCTTGCCAAGCACTTACAGAATGTGGGTTGTAATCATTCTAGAGTATTTATTATTATTGTTGTTTTTATTTTTGACACAGGAGATACCTTAAACAACACCGCATACGCCAGGGATTACACAGAGGTGGCTGTGCATCATGCTACTGTGACCGACTGGTGGACCGCACTAGAGTGCTACCTTGAAAAGATGCTGAGACCACGTCTAGACTCCATGAGAGAGTCAATGGTTAGTCACCATGTCTGCCCCCAGTGATATTACAAAGGTCACCTTTTTATGGAATAAATGTAATCTCACTTTTTACTGTTAAGGATAATATACACTAGACTTGAAAACTGGTGTTATTTTACCTTCTTTAAATGGCACACACGTGATACTACCAACCATATACTACCAATCTTCTGTAAATCATTGCTTGGTTTCTCTCAACTTTGTTAAGTGGTTTCATTCTCTTTTCCTTCAGAATAGCCCATATAGGTTAGTTCGCAAACTTCTGGTCTAAAAAATAAGTCCTAAGAAGTATTTCTCTTCAGTAGAGTGACTACTACAAATATACCAACTGAAGGCTCTTACTTCAATCTTTTCATTTATTTAGCATTCAACATTTGCTGTATGTCTACTATGTTGAGTACTATAAAGGAGAAAAAAATTTAAGCGGCTTACAATGCAGTTTAGACAAGATAAACACATTGCCAAAGTTAAACAATTCAAAAGATTGAATCAGTAACTAAAACCGTGGAGCAGGCTGCCTGAGGATTCAAGTATCTGACCTTCCATTAGAAAAATCTAGGAGCTTTTCACACTTTGAGATCTACTGAACCAGAATTTCCATGGAATGGGACCCAGGAATCTTTATTTTGAATTGTTCCCGAAGTCCCATAGCAGGTTTTCATTTGGGAATTCTAGTCGAGCCAGGAGGTACTATAAATAACCTTTGATGTGAGGCAGAGAACAATTAAGCGACAGAGAGAGGTACAGATATGGCTAAAGTGCTACTGAAGTTCACTAGCAAGACTGCAGGATGAGGGGCTTTGTAGAGGAGATGCCAACAGAACTGAACTGTCGGGACCCCTGGGTGGCTCAGTGGTTGAGCGTGTCTGCCTTTGGCCCAGGGCATGACCCCGGGGTCCTGGGATCGAGTCCTGTATCAGGCTCCCCAGAGGGAGCCTGCTTGCCTGCTTCTCCCTCTGCCTATGTCTCTGCCTCTCTCTCTTTGTGTCTCTCATGAATAAGTAAAATCTTAAAAAAAGAGAAAAGAACTGAATCATCAAGAGGGTGTAGAATTTGAAGAGAAGAAAAAGGATATCTTACAAGGATAAAGGAATACAAGGCTGGCTTCAGAGACGGACAGGTAACACAAGTACTAAGTAGCTCGCTTTGGCTAAGATGTGGCTGGCGCACGTAAGTGAATGACGGCGGGTAAGGAGAACTTTCTAAACCTAAACACCAGATGAAAGAGTTTAATCTTTATTCTACCGGTGGTGGAGAGCTTCACAGTTTGAAAACAATAGATAACACTAATAGAGCCATGCGTGAGAAAGATTACGCCGTTATCACGTAGAAATGAGGAAGAGGAAAAAAAAAAAAGATATGAGGAAGAGACAGGGAAGAGGGCATGGAGGAAATCATAAAACTCCAGGTAAACATGTAACAAGAACCCACACCAGTGTGGCAGCAGCAGGACTGCAGAAGACGGAAGGCATCCTGAATGTATAAAAGGCAAGTCTTGTCAACTGGGAGAGGAAGATGCAAGGGACACAACTCACATGGCCGTTTCCATGAGTGGAAGATCATGGAACAGGAGCAAGAGTAGATCTGGGGCAGGAAATAAATTCCATCTCAGACATAAAGGATTTAAAGTACAGCTGAGGCCTCGAAGGCAGAGTGGGAAAAACCGTTGGAAATGATAAACAGGAGCACAGTGCAGGAAGGACTACAGATTTCACAGCCAACACCGAGCAACTGAAGGGCAAGGGAGTGACTAAGGAAAAGGCCCCAGAGATAATAGAAAGAACAAGACCTATGAGGGCCATTATCATAAAAGAATGAACTCAATTTGGTGACTGCATATGAAGGATAAGAAAGTCAATAATGACTCAATGACTTTGAACTTGCATAACTAGGGGAATGGAAGGGTTATTAATAGAAAGAAAGAGAGGAGAAACAGCTAGTCTTAAAGGGAAAGTAAAGTTCAGGTAAGAGTCACTTGCCAAAGCAATTGTTTGAAAACACTCTGTAATGGTGGGGAGGACAGAACAGGTCAGCAGTTCTCAAGTTGACAATAAATGGACAGATGCACCTGGATGTTGCGGCATGTTCCATCATTATCATACAAGTTTCCAAAGTGTATTCAGAAGTTCCGTGCTGATCTAGTTTGCAGACCTGCACAGGTCTATGGGACCTGTGGTCCCTAACTAGATAATCTCAACATGCCTCCCACTTCTAACATGCTGTAACATCTATATTTCACACCTGGTTGTGGAGGTAGAGTAGCACACGGGGCAGAGAAAAGCCAGTGGCCATCATTTACCAGCAGTGACAGGCCTGCCACCTACTGCATTCTCACTATGCTGCTTTCCTCACCTGTGAAATCATGAGAGCTGGTTCGCCTATCTCCCAAGGTTGTGAAGAGAACAAAAAGAAATGACCTATCTGAAATGACAATATAAGTACAGGTAGTATTATTAGATACCAAAATCTATATCCATTAACTAAAATTTAATCACTTATGAAATACACACACAGGGATCCCTGGGTGGCGCAGCGGTTTGGCGCCTGCCTTTGGCCCAGGGCGCGATCCTGGAGACCCAGGATCGAATCCCACGTCAGGCTCCTGGTGCATGGAGCCTGCTTCTCCCTCTGCCTGTGTCTCTGCCTCTCTCTCTCTCTCTCTCTCTCTCTCTCTCTGACTATCATAAATAAAAATTAAAAAAAAAAAAAAGAAATACACACACAAAACTCCTGGCCTAAACGGTTCTATCATGAGCTCTATCAATAATAGTCAAAGAAAAAATGATTCCAATCATACACAAAATATTCTGGATGTCAGAAAAGAAAGGAAGATTCTTTTTCTAAAAAAAAAGGATTGCAAAAAACAACAACAACAACAACAAAAAAAAAACCCAACTTATTAATAAGGACAATATGACAAAAGGAAAATCTTTTTTTCTTTAAAGATTTTATTTATTGAAAGAGTACAATAGTGGGGACAGTTAGGAGAGAGGGAGAAGCAGACCCCCCCAATGAACAGGGAAGTCCGATGTGGGGCTCGATCCAGGATCATGACCTGAGCCAAAGATAGATGATTAACTGGTTGAGCCACCCAGCTACCCTGTAGGAAAATCTTATTAATGATCTTAGAGTCAGGGCAGCCCAGGTGGCTCAGCAGTTTAGCGCCGCCTTCAGCCCAGGGCGTGATCCTGGAGACCCAGGATCGAGTCCCGCGTCGGGCTCTCTGCATGGAGCCTGCTTCTCCCTCTGCCTCTCTCTCTCATTCTCTCTCTCATTCTCTCTCTCTCTCTCTCTGTGTCTCTCATGAATAAATAAATAAAATAAAATAAAAAATTATGATCTTAGAGTCAAAAAGCATTAGTAAGTTGAATCTAGCAGAATATATATATAAAAAATAAATAGCCAATCTGGGTTAACTAATGTAGAACACAACTATTTTTCAATCCAATCTTACTAGACCTCTCTTCTGCAAAAAACCTATTCTTTTCCTTTTATCTTCAGAACTTCAACATCACTGAAATACTGAAGACACAAGTTTGTTCTCTAGATGATACCTAACAATTATATTTCAGACACAAGATATTGATTTGGGGTGCTCACCCACATCCAACTAACTCAGGAATGCTGGAATTAGGACAGAGTACTAGAAAGGAGAGAGGTGCACAGAGAAGCACTCTGAAGACAATGTACAGAATGTTCCTCTCTCAGTTCTTCACTTGAGTACTGATCAGTGCAAGAGTGTATACGAATATCTGAGGCCAGGAAAGAGCTATCTGAAAAGAGGTGGCTGCACCAGTCCCAGTGGCTCACACAGGGCAGACTGAATTTGAGATCCTACAATCTAGAGGGGGAAAACCCCACAAAAGTGCAGGGCACAGGGTAGACCACCCAGGAGGAGACTGCCTCAGTAGTGGGGGGTATAATCGGCCCTCAATTAAAGGCTGCTGTGGCCCCATATCACAAAATTTAAAAAGCAAGCCTTGAAAACTATTTCTAAGTAAGTTAACTATGTCCCTAAACAACGCTCCTAAAGGAAGACAAAAATACCAGAATCAAATAGGTAAAATTAACGATGCCTGGCATCTAGTTAGAAATTATCAGACATTCAAAGAAACAGGGAACTAGAACCCACAAGGAGGAGAAAAATTAATCAACAGAAACAGATCCAGAAATATATAGATGACAGAATTAGTAAACCGAGAATCAAAGAACAGTTATTAGGGGCACCTGGGTGGCTCAGTGGTTGAGCATCTGCCTTTGGCTCAGGTTGTGATCCCGGTCTTGGGATCGAATGCTGCATCGGGCTCCCGCAGAGTACCTGCTTCTCCCTCTGCCTATGTCTCTGCCTCTCTCTGTGTCTCTCATGGATGAATAAAATCTTTGAAAAAAACCCAAAAAACAGTTATTCTAACCATATCTCACACGTTTGAGAATGTAGAATCATCATGACCAGGTCAAGGAGAGACATGGACAATATTAAGAAGACCCAAAACAGAATTCTAGGGATGAAAAATACAATGTCTAATATGAAAAATATATTGAATGGGATTGATGGCTGGTTAGGTGCCATAAAAGATCAAGGAGCCTGAAGACAGTAATAGAAATTTTCCAAAATGAAACACAGAAAGGAAAAAACACACTAGGAAAAAAGTAAATATCAATAAGCTGTGCGATCATTTCAAGCAGCCTAAAATATGTATAACTAAGTCTCTCAAATTGAAAGGGGAAGAAAAATAATTGAAGACTAGGGCAAAATTTTTCTAAATTTCATGAAAATTATAAACCTACAGATCCAAAAAAGTCAATGAACCACAAGGACAAGAAACATAAAGAAAATGAACTATACAAATGGTTTAAAACTATTAATATAAAGAGAAAAATCTTGAGAGAGAAAAAAAAAGATACATAACATTCCTTGGACCAAAGATGTGAAGGATAGCTAACTTCTCATCGGAAATAATGCAGGACATGTAAGCAGCACCCTTAAATACTGAAAGAAAAACTGTCAACCTAGGATTTTATGCCAGCAAAAAATATCTTTCAAAAATGAAGGCATACATCTTTCAAACATGGATGGACCTAGAGGGCATAAGGGAAATAAATCAGAGAAGACAAATACCATATGATTTCACTAACATGTGGAATCTAAAAAAACAAATCAAAGCAGAAACATACCTTTAAATACAGAGGACAAACTGTTACTTGCCAGAGGGCAGGGGGATAGGGACACAGGCAAAATGGGGTGAAGGGGAGAGGGAGGTGCAGACTTATGCAGTAAGTTATGGGAATAAAAAGTACAGCACAGGGGATACAGTCAATAGTATTAGGGTTGTATTCTGACAGATGGGAGCTACACTTGTGGTGAACAGAGCAAAAGTACAGGCTTGTCAAATCACTCTGTTATATACCTGGAATTAATGTAACATTGTGTCAGTTGTACTTCAATTAAATAAAAAAGGCATAGGGATGCCTGGGTGGCTCAGTCAGTTAAGTGTCCGACTCTTGATTTTGGCTCCAGTCATAAACAGGGTTGTGAGATCAAGTCCCACGTCAGGCTCCAAACTGGGCTCCCTCTCCCTCTGCCCTCCCATCCCCCACTAAAAAGGCATAGTCCATTATACCTCAGTGAAAACTTTAAAAATGAAGACAAAAATCAAGACTTCTTCCAGACATAAAACTGAAAGAATTCATTACCAGAAGAGAAGCACTACAAGAAACGTTCAAGTAAACTATTCACACAGAAAGAAAATGACATCAGATGGAAATAGGGAACTATTCAAAGAAAAAATCCCTAGAAATTGTAAATATTTCTCTTTTCAATCCCCTTAAAAGATAAGTAACTGCTTAAACACAACAGCATTATATTACGGGGGTTATAACAAATGTTGAGGGACATGTATAGCACCACGTGTCAGAAAACAAGGAAGACCTCAGGTTTACCTTAATTTAAGCTATCACCTACCTGAGAAAGAGAAACAAATTCAAACAAAGAAGGAAAGAATAGAAGAACATAATAGAAAGAAATAACAAAGAACAGAAAGCAATGAAATGAAGCTAAGAGAAAAATCAATGAAACCAAAAGCTGGTTCTTTAAAAAGACCAATAAATATAGAAAATGCACAAATAAACATACATGTACATACCAAGGGTTACAATGCAAGATCAACAGGCTTTTCAATAGTGTTGGTTAAACAGAAGATCCACACAGAAAAAAATGATCCTTAGCACTGCACCTCACATTATATACAAATTATACAAGAATAAATTCTGCAAAGATTATCAGTAAAACAAAGTTTCTAGAAGATAGTATTAGGGCTTCATGACTGTGGGGTAAGCAATAATTTCTTAAAGGGCCACAAATACATTATCCATAAAGAAGACCAATAAATGGTACTCATTAAAATTAAGAACTAGGGGCGCCTGGATGACTCAGCTGTTTAAGCATCCAACTCTCGGTCTCTCAGCTCAGGTCACGATTTCATGGGTCATGGGACAGAGTCCTACATTGGACTCCATGCTCAGCATGCAGTCTTGAAGACTCTCTCCCTCTGTCCCTGCTTCCACTCACGCTCTGCCTGTCTCTCTCTAAAAATAAATCTTTAAAAAAATGAAGAACCATTTTCTATCAAAGACACAATCAAGAATATGAAAAGGTAAGCAGTTACTAGGAATAATTATAGTTAATAATGAATTTAAGATACCAACTTTTTTCTGTTATTGAGATATAAGAGCCTGAAAGATCTCCTTCAGCACATGCATCTACAGTTAAACTAACCAAAAATCTTTCCCAAAACAAGGCCAGGGGTGCCTGGTTGGCTCAGTGTTCGTAGAACATTTGGCTCCTAATCTCTGGATTGTGAATTCAAACCCCTTGCTGGGCATAAAGCTTACTTTAAAAAAAAAAAAAAAAAAAAAGGCAAACTTTCTCCCTAAGATTTCTTCAAGTATAATCCTGATTTAGCAAGAAAACTCACAAAAAGGAGGTTTGGGGGGTAAAGCAGGTGGGTAGGTGGGTGGCAGAGAATGGTAATCAGACCACTACCAGTTCTTCTTCCAAAAATTCAATGAACTCAAATGGTAAAACATTTTGAGAAATTTTATTTTATTATTTTTTTTTTTGAGAAATTTTAAATGCCAAAAACTTCTTGAAGATATTATGGACAGGCAAGGTAGGGCCAATTTTCTACAGCTTTCCATTTTCTACTGCACTAATAAGCACAAGGTAAAATAAATGTCAAGTAGCTGCAACAAGAAACTGGAATAAGGTTTTCTATGGGTGGTTTCAATGCAGGACAAAGATTCCCATGAGAGGGGCACAGTGGTAGACACAGACAAGAAAAGGATGGGGAACTATGTCAATCAAGTTTCACTCCAGGGAACCAATATGAAGCGCCCCATGCCTTGCACAACATGAGTTCTACAAGAATATCCTGAATCTGGGAAGGAAGGAAGGAGGGAAGGAGTGAAGGAAGGAAGGAAGGAGACTAAAGTGACAGCTGGACAAGAAGGATAGCTATGTGAAAAGACAAATATGAAGGAAAAGAAGAACAAGGAAACGAGTATCATGGTAAGGCAAAGAGCAAGCCAGTTAGCAGAAGCAACCAAGGAAGTAAAATGCCGCAGGGATGAAGAAAAATACGATGGTCACAAGCCTAAAACAACAAAAGAAATATCCTGAAAAGTCTGCAAGAATAGAGGACAGAAACAGTAAGAGCAAATATATCCCATCCTGATGTTCGGGTCATCCTGAGAATTCCAACAGGAATCTGTACTACCATTTTATCATTCATCTCCTGGGTACCAGCTATTGTGCTAAGCATTTACTCATACTACCTCATTGACAGCAATTTGTAAAATTAACTCAAAATATCCCCTATCAAGTTAAGCTGGCATGAACATCCCCCTGAGGAAGCATGACTAGTGGTATCTATAATGGTGAAAGTGCAACTGTACTTTATCTGAAAAAAATATGCTAATGGTAAGGAAGCAGTCTTGAATGATACATAAAATAGGGCAGATAGAGAACTGGTCTCCCCTTTATCTCGCCAAAGATCCATTCAAATGACAATACTTAAAAATAACAACAATATTAGTGGAGTCTGAAACTCATCTTTTGGCTCCACAGACAGGGATCTATCTTGGGATGGCCCCACTGAACTAAGTGGATCCCTAAGTCAGTGCCCTGAAACAGAAAGCTTTCTATCACGGAAGGGGCTGTGCATTCGTCACTCTACAGCCTTCTGATAAGGCAGATACCAAGAACCTCTAATGAAATTATCTCGAAAAACATTTTAGCACATGTTAAATGCCTAAAAAGAATGGATCAATCTTGTAGAAGACAATGGTGAAGTAAAATGTTCCCAGCTACTCTATATAGGGATAGGGCCTAAGAATATCCAGAAGTCAGGCAGCGGGACTCCAAGTAGCCCTGGGACCACAGGCCAGTTCCTCCACTTGGCTGGGCCTTGGTGTCCTCTTCTGTAAAATGAGGAGATAGACTAAGTAATCTCTAAGGTCCCTTTTCAATTCTAAATTCTATTATAGTTGGTTCCCTCAGTAATAAATGGGAAAGGTACAGAAGCAAATTTACCAAGAAAACTGAAGAGTAGCTTCCCTCAAACAATATAGTACGATTCTTCCCAAGAGGAATTTATTTTACCTCCATTACAATCAAACGAGATCCAATGCGATAAAAGAACATTAGCATATAGAGCGAAAAACCAGGCGACTGCAGGGGTAATTTAAGAATAAAAACAGAGAGGAAGACTTACGTGTGTCTTTCATATCTGAGGGTTTCTCGGATGGACCACGCCACCTGGTATGGCGAGGCCTGCTCTGAGTCCTCCAGTTCCTCTCCGCTCTCTTCCGACCAGTCCAACCCTGGGACATGAGAGGATATTGCAAGTTAGAAAAAAAAAAAGTATTTTTATTTAAAATTTAGGAAAAAAGATATCCAAATCCATAGCACATACTATCACAGTGTGAATAAATGCCTCCTGAGTAGGTTCATCCGTATTATGACAAAAATATTAATGAGCCTCTGATATATACTCAGGTTTAAAATACTGGCATTAGAGCAAAAAAGCTATATTCCAAGGATGAACTCCTCTTAGATACTTCAGAGTAGAAACATAAGCAGAGTTCAAGTCCCTTCTCCCCGCAAAAACGTAGAATTTCTTAGGTATCAAAATATCATACATTAAACCTGTCAGAAAAAAATAAAACATATTCAAGATGGTGGGCAGAGGAGGCTAATGTATGTTTAGGTATAAAAGAAGACAAAAGCAGGATGCCTGGGTGACTCGGCGGTTGAGGGTTTGCCTTTGGCTCAGGGCTTGATCCCAGGGTCCTAGGATCCCAGGGTCCTAGGATTGAGTCCTCCATCAGGCTCCCTACAGGGACCCGGCTTCTCCCTCTGACTACCTCTCTCTCTCTCTCTGTCTCTCATTAATAAATAAAATCTTTTTTTTCTTTTAAAAAAAAAAGGTCAAAAGGCACTTGTGGATTCACTCCATACTTCCACAAAGAAGGGCCCTAGAATAAGTTGTCAAAGGCTGACACCTCATGCCCTTTCTCAACACCTCCGGGGAAAAGGACTCCATCCATCAGGCAGGGCCATGCCCTGGCTCTTGCCCTTTGCAGGAAGAGTGATGGTAAGATGACAATATTCTATTTCTAAGGTGGCTTGGGGTTTCTTTTAATTCTTTTCAACGAGAGCTGCCACATTTCATGGCATTTTGAAAAACAAGTTTATTTATTTTTTTTTAATAAATTAATTTTTATTGGTGTTCAATTTACCAACATACAGAATAACACCCAGTGCTCATCCCGTCAAGTGTCCCCCTCAGTGCCCGTCACCCATTCACCCCCACCCCCCGCCCTCCTCCCCCTCCACCACCCCTAGTTCGTTTCCCAGAGTTAGGAGTCTTTATGTTCTGTGTCCCTTTCTGATATTTCCCACACATTTCTTCTCCCGAAAAACAAGTTTAGAAGGAAAAATAGAAAATCAGAGTGTGAACAATGCTAACTTATTTTGTCAAATGCTACTATTTTTAATGACTGGATAATTACTAGCTACTAACATAAAGGTTTTGCCTTTTTAGAAGTTTTGTATCTTGAAAAATACCGATGTTACACAGTCTAACATACATAACTTTAATATACTCATACCACTAGGATACTTGAATTAGATTCCTTGGTAGCTAGGATTCAGTCTTCCTTCTGGAGACCCTCAAAAATCAAAAGACCATCTTCATTAGGCAGTTGTGTTAGAAAGAACCTCACAGGTTGCTTCTATAATTTAAACGAGTTTACATGTGCCAAACAGGGAAATTAAGAAAAGGTTAATCGAAATGCAAATTATAAATGCTTAAAATCAAGTAATACATTGCCACTGGAATAAAGAAGCCTCAAATCTAGTTCCAAGGTGACTATCCGAAAGCCACCTTAAAAAGTAACTTACTTAAAAAAAAAAAAGGTACTTTTTCTCAACTAAAATAGTGATAAAAAAGCATAAAAAAAAAAAACAAGTAACCACAATAGCATTAGCTTCAGGATAGGATATTGAAAGGCGAGGTCTTTCAAACACAAAGTGACACCTAAAAGGACCTTTTAAAAATAGGATATGAGTTATCTTTTATTGTTTTTGTGTAATTAGTAATAATCAATGCTAAGTCATCTATTCCTTCTCTCAAAAAGTCAAAATCTAAGTCGTAAGAACTAAGTTGAAATTGTTTCTCTTGTGAAATTAACTGTCCAATAAAGCAAACCTTTGATCTTGGCTTCATTATCACTAGTTTTAATATAACTAACTGAGATAACCAGCCCAGACAAGACTGTACTTTAAAAGGTGATTACAAAAAAAAAAATAAATAAATAAAAAAATAAAAAAAAAATAAAAGGTGATTACAAGACTGAATTTTTTTCTTTTTTCTTTTTAATTTATTTTTAAGACTGAATTTTTCTTTTTTTTTTTTTTAATTTTTATTCATTTATGATAGGCACACAGTGAGAGAGAGAGAGGCAGAGACACAGGCAGAGAGAGAAGCAGGCTCCACGCACCGGGAGCCCGACGTGGGATTCGATCCCGGGTCTCCAGGATCGCGCCCCGGGCCAAAGGCAGGCGCCAAACCGCTGCGCCACCCAGGGATCCCTAAGACTGAATTTTTCTAAAAGTATTCTTTGCTGACATGAATGCAGACTATACTTGGTCCTAATGGTACATTACAATTTCTGGCTTTTCCAAAGTAACCTTTGTTTTGAAAACCTAGGCCCCCTAATATGCTGGAATTTAAAAAAAAAAAAAAAAAAAAAGCAAGTTTTCATTTTGTTCAAAATGACAGAAAACCATCTCCCAACACAAACAACATACTGTTTGTTTCCATAGCTAAAAAAATTACCAACATCCATAAATACACAAAAGTATAAATCAGTATTTAGTAGATGATGTGGGTACATTGTGGAATGAGAGGCAAACATTTGGGAAGAAATAAAGTTAGATGTCTGTCTCAAAACTAAAACCTAATGAATTCCAAATAGAGGACTACAATGTAAATAACCATTTGATATAAATAAAAGGACTAAAAGAAAATATGGGTGAATATATTACATAGTTTTGGAGCCCAAACAAGAAACAAAAAAAACAAAACACCTGACTCAAAAGGAAGAAATTCTAAAAAAGTAGAAAACATAAACAATTTTAACTCCTAAATTCCAAAATCATTATCATAGGTATTGCAAAGATAACAAATGGGAGGAGACTTTGCAAAAAAAAACATGAAATATGTATAAAAAGATCTCACCAAATCAATAAAGAAAAAACAAGCCCTTCAATAAAAATGAGTGAAAAAACTCAAAACATAAAATAAACAAGAAATACAAATGTCCACAAAGCATTATAAACAAATATTCAAAGCTACATTACTAGGGATCCCTGGGTGGCGCAGTGGTTTGGCGCCTGCCTTTGGCTCAGGGCGCGATCCTGGAGACCCAGGATCGAATCCCACGTCGGGCTCCCGGTGCGTGGAGCCTGCTTCTCCCTCTGCCTATGTCTCTGCCTCTCTCTCTGTGTGTGTGACTATCATAAATAAAAATAAATAAATAAATAAATAAAATTAAAAAAAAAAAAAAGCTACATTACTAATTCAAAATAGCAGTTCTCACTTAAAAGAATGGTCCAAAGATCTCAAGGGGTCCCTGAAATCCTCTAAGGGAGAGTTCCTTAGGTCAACACTATTAGATGTGTGTTTAGACGTCTTTAGCTTTTTTTCACTATGTTGGTGTTGGCACTAATGGTAAAAAGGAAAGAAAGAAAGAAAGAAAACAACAACAAAAAACCCATGGTAGGTAAACCTGCTGGCACCTCGGCACGAATTGGCACCAGGTAGGTAAACCTGAGTGGCACTCAGCACAGTGGCACCAACCATACTAGCAGTCATTCTATGTTTCATACCATGACTTGTGGTTAAATTTTTTTTCTTAAAAAATAAACAGTTTTAAGAATATCCTTGACAAAGCACTATATATCAAAGACTGTTTATTAAATCTTAGTTCTTGGGATCCCTGGGTGGCGCAGCGGTTTGGCGCCTGCCTTTGGCCCAGGGCGCGGTCCTGGAGACCCGGGATCGAGTCCCACGTCGGGCTCCCAGTGCATGGAGCCTGCTTCTCCCTCTGCCTGTGTCTCTGCCTCTCTCTCTCTCTCTCTGTGACTATCATGAATAAATAAATAAAAAATTAAAAAAAAAATAAATCTTAGTTCTTGGGATGCCTGGGTGGCTCAACAGTTGAGCGTCTGCCTTTGGCCCAGGGCGTGATCCTGGAGTCCTAGGATGGAGTCCCATATCGGGCTCCCTGCATGGAGCCGCTTCTCTCTCTTTGTCTCTCATGAATAAATAAAATCTTAAAAAAAGAAATCTTAGTTCTTAACTACACATCTTTACAGCAGTCTTTGTGATCATATGAAGTCATAAAGCACCTCTGCTGCACAGCAAGTAAGTACAGTGGTTGTCTTGCACCACTGTTCTGTGACCTGAACTAGCGGCTTTCTTTTCATTCAACATCATTTTTATTTGAACCAATGACTGACAAACTATGGTTATTAAGACTTGGATATCCGACAGTCATTTTTTCTAAAATGAACAGTGTAACTATAACTTCAAGGAAAACAATGTACAATATTTGTTGCCAACAATGAGATTCAAATTTTCACTTGAAAGTTTGATATTTTCTTTAAACTTGAAGTCATCAGTGAGTCTATGACAACTTTCTAATAGACTTTTCTAATGAGATTGGTGGTAATATTAATGAATGTAACTTTGTTTTGTTTTTAAGTAGGCTCCACAACTAGCATGGAGCCCAACACCAGGCTTGAAGCCATGACCCTGAGATCTAGACCTAAACTGAGATTAAGAGTTGGATGTTTAAACAACTGAGCCACCCAGGCATCCCATGGATATGATTTTTAAAATTTTGCATAATGAAGTATGTCCACATTTGGAACATAGGTTTCACTAGGTAAACCAGTATTTTCCAAATGGACAATATATTATGTTACAAAACCATGCATGGGTTAAAAGTTCCATTCAAAGTGCAATGCAGGTCAATGTAAAATTCATTGATGTAGTGTTTGCAAAATTCCTTGATATGGTTTCAGATTTCAAACTGCAAGTAATCTTTAAGAATCTCTCGTTTGTCAAATTGTGGTGTAGAATCAAATAAGAATATCCACAATTATTTTTTACAAGCTAGTATTCTTCCCTGTTCCAACTTCCAACAAACTTGTAAGGCCATATTTTCACATACTAATCAAAACCACATACCACGACAGATAGAATACAGAAGCAGATAGGACAAGCTAGCTGTCTTCCAGCAAACCACACATTAAGATTTACAAACAATGTAAAATAATGCTGCTCTTCATTTTATTTCTTTTTTTCTTTTGGGAAATCCTACTTCATAAAAAGAATATGTTACTATGTGGGAACTTTATTTTTTTAAAAAGACTTTATTTATTTATTCATTAGAAACAGAGAGAGAGGGGCAACACAGGCAGAGGGAGAAGCAGGCTCCATGCAGGGAGCCTGACATGGGACTTGATCCCCGATCTCCAGGATCACGCCCTGGGCTGAAGGCGGTGCTAAAGCACTGAGCCACCCGGGCTGCCCCCTTTATCTTTAAATGCATTAATATTTTAAAATTTCTCAGTCTTAGCTTCAATTCAGTAAATATCAAGAAATGTAACTCACATACAAAGGCTCTATGGTGTCCTCAATATTTTTTTTTATTTATTATTATTCATTCATGAGAGAACAGAAAGAGAGAGAGAGAGAGAGAGAGAGAGAGGCAGGCAGAGACACAGGCAGAGGGAGAAGCAGGCTCCATGTTGGGAGCCTGATGTGGGACTCGATCCCAGGTCTTCAAGATCATGCCCTGGGCTGAAGGTGGCACTAAACTGCTGGGCCACTGGGGCTGCCCTGTCCTCAATAATTTTTAAGTGTAAAGGGATTCTAAAGTCAAAGAATTTGAGAAACACTAATCTAAGGTATGCAAATTAAAGCAAATTTTCTATCAAATTTGCAAAGACACAATAACAACCAATATCCAATACAGTAAAGATGTAGAGAAACTGTCATTCTCATACCCCGCTGAAAGAAGGGTAATGTGACAAAATAGTTCTGAAGGAAAATCTGACAACGTATCAAAAAGCTTTTTAAAAAATATAAATGCTTGGAATCAACAATTCTGCTTCTAGGAATCTATTTGAAGGAAAAATTAAAGATGTGACAGTAATTATTTTACTATGAGGCTATACGGCTATAACACTTTATAATGATATAAACTGGAAACAACCTAAATTAGAAAATGAATTCAGCTGTGACAAATTATGTTGTGTATGGAAAATTACTACCTTCATAGTATACTACAAAAAATTTTAAAACAGGTTATAAAACTGTTGTGTATAGCAGGAACCTAATTTTATAGATCTGATATATACCAAGGCATTAACAAATGGGTATCAATTAGGTTTGGGTGCTTTAACTTATTATTTTTATCTATACCTTTTCTTTAAGTTTTATTAGTTGTTTTAATTATCAGAAGTCACACATGGTTTAATAACAGGTGAAACAATATAAAACTCTTAGCATAAGAAGAATTACCATTCCCATCTCCATAAAAACACATCCTGTCCGGTTCTGCCCTCCTCTTGATAGCCAGTGTTAACAGCCGGGTAGTGTATAACCATTCACACCCAATAGGCAAACATCTATCTGTCCATAGACTTGATCAACAGATACATTGATGCCCCTTGTTTATTTACTTTCTTTTTAACAAAAATGGGGTAATACGATACCTCTTGATTTTTTTCTACTTGCTAATATAACATAAATACATCTAGTTAAAAGATACAGATTTCATTCTTTTTAGTAGTTACATAATACTTTATAAGACATGTATCTACCGTAATCTACTCAAGGTCTCCTATTGGTTATAAAGGTTATTTGTGGATTTTTAATACTGCAAGCAATGTTGCAATAAACATCCTTGAACATGCATCCTTATATTGATTTTTTTCACTCATAGGAATAGAGTCCCAAAAGTGAGTTTGCTGGCAATGTGTGTGTGTGTACACACACACACACACACACACACACACACACACACACATATTCTTAATTGGTAAATATTGTCACATTACTCACCAGCAATGTATAAGCCTCATTAACACTGGATATAATTTTTGCCAATCTGACAGTAATTCATTGTTATTTTAACTTGCATTTTCTCACCTGCTAAGGGATTGAGGTTTTCATTGGTCTGCCGACCATTTATATTTCTTCTTCCTCTATTCCCATCCTTTTCCTATTTTTCTACTGGTATCATGTCATGCAAATGATTTTTTCTAAAGTTAGAATCACAGCTCATGCCATATTCACGAATACATTCCAAATGAACTAAAGGTTTAAATAACACAGAATAAACTATCAATAAGAAAGCAAAATACCTATAAAAACTTGGGATCAGAAAGATTTTCTTGAGCAAAAAAATTCAGAAGCAATAAAGAAAAGGCAGATATTTTACTACATTAAAGTTTTGCCTGTATTTTTTCACTTTTAAATCATGAACAGGTATTGCTATGGGAACTTTTTTTTACAAGTTTTTTTTTTTTTTAAACTGTCAGCTCGGTATTAACAATACTATCATTATTCCAAAGTCCTATGATAAGACATGTTGAAAACTTCATAGACCCAGGTGCTGAGCTCAGAGGCTGCTGCTACCACCACTAACTAGAAGCTGAGACTGGGATCCCAAATTTCCCAACTCCAACTTCTGTATCCCATCCACCAAGGATGATCCTCTCCACTGGTATATCTCCTTCACGATGGCCTACCTAAATGCAGACTCCTTCGCTGGACCACTCGGTCCCAGTGTCTTCCACTGCTGTCATAGACACGGCAGCTCTGAACACAAAGCCTCGCCTGAGAGGGCACGTGTTGTTACATTATGTGCATGTGACCTGGTTAAAGGAGGTAACTCACCTAAATGGGGAAAGAGATCAGTGTCCAACTGATGTTTCTGGGTGCACAGTTTCACCAGTCTCTGCAGGCGACTTATACAGGAGAAGTGTGGAGAGAAGGCTGTGGCTTTCATGAGGACCCGGTCAGTCCTGGGCGGGTCTGCGGCGGGAGCCCTACTGGATGGCAGGAGGGGCAGCGGCCTCTTGTGGGACAACTGCCTTGCTTGTGCTATAGTGTGTGTGGTGGGGGCCACTCCCTGCATTGGTAGGCTGGTGTTCGGAGGTGGAGGTGACTTGCAGACTAACCCCTGTGGTGGCGGTGGCGCTGGAGGTTTTAGAGAAGTGGATAACGGTGACAGGTGGGAGTGCTGCTGCGGGGGCTGCTGCTGTGAAGGCGCAGGAGGGGGACTAAAGTGCTCTTGTCGAACTTTTAAAATCTCGGTCTCTCTCTGGCGCTGCCGATTCTGGGCCAACTTGCTCTGCAACTTCTTTCTCACAGTTGCCCCTTTCTTTAGGTCATCATCTTCCTCGTTGAAAGCAAATGGGTCTTCCAACTCGGTTTCCAGGTAGTGGAGAGGGACCCTAGCCCCAGGTGGAGAGAGGGACATTCCATCCAGTCCATTGGGCATCTTCAAGGCCAGCGGGGGCACCGCGAGGCTAAAGGCCATGGTATCCATCTGGTGCCTGACCTTCACCTCATCTATAGGATCATTCTTTTTCTTCCTCTCTTTTTTCGGGATAAAGCCAAGTACCTGCAAGTGGCTGTTGCAGTACCTTTGAAAAACACACATACACAGGAAAAGGTTTATGATGTATAATAAGAAAAGCAGAATATAAAATTACATACCATAAAATGTGAATCCTACCAAGTATATAAAAATAGCATGACCACGGGAACTCATGGCATGCACAGATTTAATATAAACACTTCCAATACTCTCAAGCCATCTTCAAAGCCTGCAACTTTCCTGAGGCCAATATGTGAGTTGTGTCTGCGCAGAGGTTGCCAGATAGAAGCAAGTCACTCAAATACTGAGTGGCCCTAGATAACCATCAAGCTATTGCTTCTCATTGTGCTCTGCTCTGTCATTTTGTATTCAGAGCATACAAAGTAACTTCAGCAAGTCTAAAGAATCACTTAAAACTCTTATGAAGGGGATATATACATATATACACGTACATATATATACATATATGCATTCCAATGTCACTCAAGTATTTGTAGGTTCACAAAGATCTTATGACATAATCCCTAAGAATGTCAAGTGTCTACAGTATATCTTCACACACACAGAGATTGAGAGAGATAAAGAGAACATGGAAGGAGAAGGTAAAATAATAAAACTAGTTAGTGGGATTATAGATGAAATGAGTTCCACAACTCCCTGAGAGAAGTACATGTTTCTACCTGCAGTAGGTACTAAAATAATTCCCTTTATACAGATGAGGAAGCTAGAACTTGATAAAAATGAAGTAACTTGCCCCAAATCCCCCATCTGGAAACTGACAGCTGAGACTCTAAGAAGAATCCTCATGCTGAAGTAGTCTTCAGCAGGCAGGTTACTTTTGTAATGTAAATGGTATTCTAAAAATACTAAAAAGGACAGACTCTACTACTTAATAAGAAAGTAGAATGCGTGTTGTTCCCATAAACCACACTGAAAACCTATGGAGGCTTTCAACCAGTAGAAAAGTTGTGTTTTCCAGACTGGTATTCCTCATGCAGTTCAGAAGATTAACAAGTGCCAATAAAGAGTATTCCATGCTTAAATAAATTTGGAAAATGCTGGCTTCAACAGAATTAGACAATGATTTTGTTGTTTCTGCTGAACAGCTTCTCAAAGCATTTTGTAAGATAATGTACATTATGCTTCAAGGTGGCAGTGTTTTCCAAACTTATTTGGAAATGGTATCTATTTTTATTGTAGTGCACCTGTGATATCTCCACAGTACAGTTTGGGGAAAAGGGCAATAAGGTAAATAATTAATGTCAATCCTCAAACTCATTGGACTGCATCAAACAAATTTTTAAATCACTGTGAATATGGACTCACAAAAAAAAAATTAAAATTAAAAAAAAAAAAAAAGAATATGGACTCACCAAACAATCAGGAGACATGGTTTTGTTGGTTTGTCTTAGAAATACATCTATCAGAGGCACGCCTCAATTTTAACAAGACTATTAAGGAAAAACTTTCTGGACTGTAAAGAGAATCTACACTGTGTGTGAGTGCATGGTTTGGGCTAGGTCACACATATACCTTAAATCGAATAGATTTATAAAGCTGTGGCCAAGAAGGAAAAAAGTTTCAGGGATAACTGCATGATTTTTGTTGTTTTTAAGTCATTTTTAAAGATTTTTAAATTTATTTATTCATGAGAGACAGAGAGAGAGAGAGTCAGAGACACAGGCAGAGGGAGAAGCAGGCTCCATGCAGGGAGCCCGACATGGGACTTGATCCCGGGTCTCCAGGATCAGGCCCTGGGCCGAAGGCGGCGCTAAACCGCTGGGCCACCAGGGCTGCCCTGCCCAGTCATTTTTAAATTAACAAAAAGATTAGTGGAGAGAAATGAGGTGGGATAGTTTTTAAATTTAGGAATGCAATTCTTCTGCTCAGTACAAATGGGCAGCCTGAGCAGGTCACAAACTGAGCCCGCTTGGTGCCACCTCATGTAACAGGGCAGAGGCTGTGGGCATGTACAGCCCTCCTTCAGCCTCACCACCAACTCCTGCTCCAGCCACCTGCCCTGCCAGCGCTACCACCACACAGAGTCTGAACTTGTAAAAACACTTCCCTCTTTTAAGAGGGAAAATTTTTTTCATAGCTAGAATTAACAATAGCTTACTCAGTTACGATCAGTGTTTAAAAGAAGTATGCAAATATGAACTGAATGAATGACAATTCAAGGGAGTGACTGCTCACAGGTTCTTTGGAGGGGATGAAAAATGTTGTAAATTAGACCGTAATGATTGTTGTGCAAGCCTGTGAATATACTAAAAAGTACTGAAGTGTACTTCAAATGAGCAGATTGTATCAGATGTGAATTATATCTTAAGCTGTTTCAGAAAAGTGTAAGCATACAGAAAACTTCCTGGCAAATAGGAAAACACTAAAAATATATAAAATATTATATAAAATAACCAACCTAATATAACCACTTCTCTCTGAGAAACCAAAGCTACAGTAATAAGCCATAGTTCCCACTGTGCAAGTATATTAGAAAATGAAATTTACTCTTTATTTTCTTTTTTTTTTTTAAAGATTTTATTTATTTATTCATAGACAGAGAGAGAGGCAGAGACACAGGCAGAGGGAGAAGCAGGCTCCATGCAGGGAGCCCGATGTGGGACTCGATCCCGGGTCTCCAGGATCACACCCCAGGCTGCAAGCGGCGCCAAACCGCTGCGCCACCGGGGCTGCCCTACTTTTTATTTTCAAAAGAATATCAATCTTTTCGACATCATGTCATATAGTGTAGTTGTAACTATCAATACTTATATACATGTTTAGGGCTTATATGAATTCAACCTGGATTTCTTGAGGTAACATCAGAATATTAGAAGTCTACTTTAATCTATTTCCAAACAATCTTACAAATAATGAAAATAGTAATATCATTTGCATTGGGTTTGAACCAATTTTGAAAAAATACGCAACTTAGTACTTAAAGTATAGTTTCTCTTGACAAAGCCACACAGAAGTCCTTCCCCTTTTTATCTTGTTCTAAAAAGAGGAAATTACTTTGAATATCAAGGTGAAGACCTATGATTCAGAGAATTAATATTCTGGAGAAATTCAGAGCAACTCTGTTTTACTTCTTGCTCCAGCTATTAAGATAGAACTTGATTCCGCTAAAATGAAAAAAAAAAAATCCAGGGTGCAAATGTGGTAAACTGAATTTAATACATAATTATAGGTGTGCCTGCTAGCACAGTTGGAGGAGCCTGTGACCACTGATCTTGGGGTCATGAGTTTGAACCCTACAATGGGTGGAGATTACTTAAATAAATAAATAAACTTAAAAAGGGGGAAGGGGCAAAATTATAGATGCATTTACAATGGACATTGAGGTAAAAAAAAAAAAAATGAATCCAAGTTCATCAATTCTTCAAGTTAAAAAAGGCCAGGGGTAAGAAATGGTCATGTTAAGACAGCTAGAACCAGCTGGACAGATATGTTTAGTTTGTCAGGTCCAGTGGTCCCTTTCTCACCTCAGATTAAAATTTTATTCCTTACCTCACTGAACAGCTGCTTCTAACTTTCAGGTATTGTAATGTGAAACTTTAAGTGCTCATTAGAAATTCTAAGAGAGTATTCCCAAATCACCACATGATGCTACACTCATTTAGGTAGGAGCTCTATCAACACAAATTATTTTACCCTAAAAGTGTAAAAGTTGCTCAAAACATGACTTCTTTTCAACCAATTTATGCAGGTGACATCTGCTTACACATAGGAACAAGGATGAAGGTTATGTGTATACATATTTTAAAGATAAAAGTAAAAAGTTCACATTTTCTACCTGAAGGTAACAAGTATTTAAGTTTTGGAAAAATAATTGTGCATCTCTCTCTAAAACTCTACAATGATCCACATGGTTTCTGGAGAATTGAAAAAGAAATGAAAAAGAGATTATTTATGAAATAGTGTGAATTTTCCTGAGAATATAAAAGATAAATATCGTAAGATTCTTTCTCTAAAAACACCTCTATGTTTCTTAATTCAGCCAAGTAAAAATTCACTATCCTAGTGATAAAGGCTACTCTTACTATGCACATCCCATTTCTTAATGATGGTAAACATACTCTACATGGAACTCTTTTAACCAAAAGAAGCAAGATTATAGAACAATGCCAAACACCGCTTAAGTCTGATAGAAAGTAAATCTTCTCAATAATTCAAGTAATCATTCTTATGAATAATTCTTTTTCAATAAGTACATACCCCTTGCTACCTTTCAAGCACAGATTAAAAAATTCCAAAATTATTACCATTAATTACAACACCTAAGTAATTCCTATAATACCTGTTGTTTAAGCAGATTTCTATCATAATCAGGAACTACTTTATAAGACTGCAAACCAAACACAATGATGAGAAAAAATCTCTTAAAGTCTATTAAATAAAATCAAAAAAATCAAACATACTTTTCAAATAATTCCCCAAGTTTACTATTCCATTTTTTTCAAACTGCCATCTATTGTCTTTAGAAACCTTTCAAGGTTTACTTAGATTACCCCAGAACTCAATGTTTAAATTCACCACATTAAAAAAAAAAAAAAAAAAGACAAGAAAATTTCCAAGCCTACAAATGAAATCAAAGATGGATTCCCATGATTAGCTCTTACCTACGATCCTCTGATTTGGGGATGGGGTTGGTGCAGCGTTGGCTGTTATACTTGGCCACATATTCACATTGCTTGAAGGGGGCAGTCTTGTCCTCCAGAACGTGTCTGATACAGAAAGCGTACCCGTTGAGTCGCCGCTGCTTGCACAGTTTGGGGCTATATGAGCACAAGGGCTTATTGTCAACCTCAGAGAAGTGTATATGTTTCCCTTCATACATCACGTGACTCTATTCCTTGTGAACATCAGCTAAAAGACCACCACAAAAAAAAGAAACCCAAATGATAAATCAGAGAGTATAAGGCAGAGGTAAGTTGACAATTTCACTGAGGGACTTCTGGCCCCACAGCCATACCTGATTTTAAATCTTCTGCACCATAGCAATGTTAAGAGAACCCCAAGGATACCACAGTTTGGAATGCTGCAGAATCAAGATGAAGCAGATTGTCTACAAAAATATCAAAAGGCCTAGTTAACAAAAAGAAACAAGAAAGGCTTGCTCACCTGGGACATGAAATACTAGGGTATCACCCTTCCTAATGGATGGATTCTTCCTTGTAATCCATCATCCCAACATTAAATTCAAATAACAAGAGACATTATGAAATACCATGTTAAATACCAGGTATCTTACCCCTCCAAATTATACTAAGTAACTTTGTCATAAGGTGGCAGGTCTTTTTATTTCATTACTGGCGATCGAATGTTGTATCTATTTTCAGAACACAAATCTCTTCACAATACCACTGGAATGAACCTACAGACCTAAAATGTACCTCAGAAGTTCCACATTTTTTTACGTATTGGCAAAATATTTGGCAATTTGCAACAAACGTTTCTATGAAATACCAAAAGGGAAGGGGCAAATTCCTCTTTTAAAAGACCTTTTTTCCCTGTAATATTTCCCCACATTTATCCCATCCAAACTATAAACTTCTTGAGCCTAAAGACTATACCGCCACCTTTTAGTGCACTGCTATCCACATGTCGCACCCAATTACACTAAACAGGATAACAATCATGACTTAGAGAATGTTTGGAGTTTTAGTAACAAAATGGAAGAAAGAAATCACATAATACCCACTACTTCTCTGCACACACAATGTCCAGCAGAAACATTTACATATTATAACACCAGTCTACAATGAAATTGGACCAACTGTGGTATCAAGTCAGAACTGTAGTGGGCTGATGTGGTCTACCCACTTTCTCCAGAATCTACACATCACCCAGATGGCTTGGCAGAGTAGCCTGGATATCAGCCACAGAAAAACTCAATATTCTCTTCTTTACAAAACTATTAAATATGAAATTCCTCACACCCATGAATGTCAAGACACATATACACTTAAAGGTCAGAAGACATGTTTCCCAAAATCTGCTTCTTAGTGTTACCTTGAATAAATAATGCAACCTCAGTTTTCTTGTCTGTAAAATTGGGATAATAGCAGCTGTGTTATCATCAGGTTGCTCTAAGGATCAAGTGATACAAAGCATGCAACACCCCAACTACCTTGCCTAGTGCGTGTTCAGCACTGAACAAATGAAGTTATTAGAGAAATGTCAATGCAAAAAAAAAAAAAAAAGAAATGAAAATGCCAATGCTTATTATTTACATTCTACCTAATATAGGTAGAGAATCTGTATTGCCTCTGAGTATTTCACTTACTATAGCAGAAAGACACCTGAAATATTAGTTTAGTTAATAAGAATTGCATTCATTACCAAGTAAACCTAATGAGATATCAATGTAATTCAAAAGTAAGAGCTTTCCCTTTTTACTTTATTAGGATACAAGGGGAAAAAGTTGTATTAAAATTTTTAACTTAACTGCCCTAAAGGTCAAATTGTTCAAGGACAGGAAATATTTTGAAGCAAACCCATGCTTTTTCTTTTGGATGTTTCAGGGCGTGATCCCAGGGTCCTGGGATCGAGTCCCACATCAGGTTTCCCTCAGGGAACCTGCTTCTCTCTGCCTATATCTCTGCCTCTCTCTGTGTCTCTCATGGATAAATAAATGAAATCTTAAAAAAAAAATACACTGGATATAAATGAAAATATATCTATCTGTATGAGAATATTTTATAAGCCACAGAAAGAAGAATGGGGCAGGGTAGAGGGATAGAGAAGGACAACCTTCACTTTTAAGACATATTCTAGGTCTACAATCAGATGTGATATATCTAGACTGATGATTTCCTCTTTCTTTCCAATTTTTATATATCTTTTATTTCCCCCTTTTGAATTTGCCAGAACTGCTGGAATAATGTTAGTAATAAGGCGACCACTGAGGGATCCCTGGGTGGCTCAGTGGTTTAGCGCCTGCCTTTGGCCCAGAGCATGATCCTGGAGTCCCGGGATCGAGTCAGTCCCGAGTCAGTCCCGCGTCGGGCTCCCGGCATGGAGCCTGCTTCTCCCTCTGCCTGTGTCTCTGCCTCTCTCTCCTTCTATGTCTATCATGAATAAATAAATAAAATCTTTAAAAAAAATTTTAAAAGGCACCCACTGTTAATGCCTGTTAAATAAGAACTGCTTATTGTCAATGGGTGGAATAATGCAGACTTTCGTCATAAGACATATTTCCTGTTAAGGAAATATCAAGTAATTCCTGTTTTACTAAGAGTTGTTGCCTTAAAAAAAAAAAAAAACCCTCAGAATTGATGGTTAAATTTTACCAAATTCTTTTTCAGCTTCTTGAGAGAAAATCATTTTTTTCCTTTGTACTGTTAAAAATGTGGCTTTTAGTATTTCCTAATACTGATGTATTTCGTATTTCCTGATCTCCTGATACTTTATCCTGGGAACTTGGTCACTGTGTATTATTTTTTTTTAATGTGTTGCTAAGTTATACTTGCTAATTTTTAGGATTTTTAAGTTTGAGAATGGTCTAGAAGCTTAGTTTTTTGTTTTTCAGAACTTGGTATCAAAATAGTATTTCAAAAAATTATTTGGAAATCTTTCCCGGGGTCACTTGGGTGGCTCAGTCAGTTAAGCATCTGCCTTTGGCTCAGGTCATGATCCCAGAGTCCTGGGATCGCCCGCATGGGGCTCCGCGCTTAGCAGAACGCCTGCTTCTCCCTCTCCCTCTGCTGCTCCCCTTGCCTGTGCTCTTTTACTCTCAAATAAAATCTTAAAAAACAAACAACAATAACAAGCAACAACAACAACAAAACATTTCTGGAACAACTTAAACATCACTGCAGCTAATGTTCCTCAGAAGGTTGCCTGGGCCTCATACTGCCTTTCAACGCACATCAGGTCTTAAAATTTACCTGAACACAATTTAGCAACATGACCATTCAGACTCAATTTCCTAAATATCTGTGATTCACTCTTATATTCTGTGTATTCATACACAGGTGACATTTGTGCACTCTCCCTTTTGTTCATGATTAGCCTCAATAGTTTATCTGTTTAAAATTGTTACCGGCATTTTCAAATAAATAGGTAAGTCCAAATCTCTTGGCTTTATTAGTACCTCCGTGTTTGTTTTTTCTAAATTCATTAATTTCTGCTTTTATGTTTGCCAATACCTTCTTTCTGCTTCCTTTCCATTTATTTCTTTACTTATTTATTTTTTGGTAACTTCCTGAGCTGAATTATTTTACTGTATCATGCTTTCTTGCTTAGTTATTTATATTTATTTTCCTGAGTACTGCTTTAGTCATATCCCATAGGCACTAACACAGAATTTTAATTATTAGTACTTTTCTAGTTGATTTGGAGTCGATTTCTCAATTTTTCCTTTGGCCCAAGAGCTTCTTAAGTTTCTCAGATGGCAAAGTTTTATAGTTTCTTTTGCTTTAGTTTTAGTTAAGAATAAAGAGCATAGGGACGCCTGGGTGGCTCAATGGGTGAGCGCCTGTCTTTGGCCCAAGGCATGATCCTGGAGACCTGGGATCAAGTCCCACATCGGGCTCCCTGCATGGAGCCTGCTTCTCTCTCTGCCTGTGTCTCTGCCTCTCTCTGTGTGTCTCTCATGAATAAATAAATAAAATCTTAGAAAAAAAGAATAAAGAGCATAATCTGCATTTATCTCTGCTTTTTGGATCTGATATTTTCTTTGGGGTCTAATAAGTACGCTTGAAAAAGAGTATTCATTGTTTCCAGGGTATGTTGTTTGCCATTCTATGTATCATGTTATTAACCTTTTTATTTAAAGTCTTCTGAAGCACTGTTTTAGATCATGGGTCAGCAAACTGGTTTTAAAGGGCAAATTTGGCCCACTACCTGTTTTTGTAAATAGTTTTACTGGAACGCTGTCCTATTCATTGATTTACATGTTGTCTATGGCTGCTTTCACACTGTTAACAGCAGAGCTGAGTAGTTGCAAAAGAGATTTTATGGTCAGGATACCTAAAAAAAAATTCACTAAAAAAAAAAATAAATAATAAGTTCACTAAAATATTACTTGCTAATCCCTTTTCAGATGCAGCTCTTAGTGGATTTAACTTTTTTGCTCCAATCTGTCCTTCTCTACTAATAAATGAGTATAGACAATTTACAATTTTCTATTTGTTTATGATAGTTTGTCATAATTTCATCTTATTGTTTTGGTAACCCTTTTAGCTTTTAATTTTTTATTACATATTTCACTATACAGTCTGTTTTCTTGGAAGATTTATAGTCTATGGGGCACGTGGGTAGCTCAGTGGTTGAGCGTCTGCCTTTGGCTCAGGTCATGATCCCAGGATCCTGGAATCGAGTCCCACATGAGGCTTCTCACAGGGAGCCTGCTTCTCCCTCTGTCTGTGTCTCAGCCTCTAGTCTCTCATGAATAAATAAATGAAATCTTAAAAAAAAAAAAAAGATTTATAGTCTATATCCTTGAGATAACATCTCTTTACTCCACACTAAGAAAATTAGTATACAGTTGACTCCTGAACAATGCAGGAATTAGGTGCACCAATATCCTACATAGTCAAAAATCCAAATACAACTTTTGCCTACTGCTGACCAGAAGCCTTACTGATAATGTAAACAGTTAACACATATTTCACGTTATACATATTATATACTATATTTTTACAATAAAGCCAAATAAAATATTAATGAAGTCATAAGGAAAATATATTTACAATACTGTATTTATACAAAAAAATCCCAGGTTAGACCTGCACAGTTCAAACCATGTTGTTCAAGGGTCAGCTGGACTTAGTATTATTGTGATTGATCTCATGCTATGAACGAGAAAAATTTTCATTTTTGTAACCATCTACCCAATCCCCAACTCTGAATTTTTCCCTTATATTTCTACATTGCCACAGTATTAATATTAGTTCTACACTTAAATTCATTTAATATTAATCACTAATCCTTTTAACATAGTTTTCAATTCATGTCTTGATTCAAGAGTCACCTCCCTTCACCAGTCCTGCCCCCTCAACCCCCACATCCCACCTGCCTGACTGACTTATAAGAACTAAGCCGTGGTTTTTCTGTTTGGAA